CCGGTTGTGTCCACCTCGCCCAGTGTGTGTCCATCCTGCAGTGCTGCAGTCTCCTCGCATCTCTCGGTCCTCGAGGTCCTTGCTCTATGGCAGTGTTGGAGGTCTGAGGGCTGGGGTCTGGGAGACGCTCCAGAGGCTTGGAGGGGGATAGAACTGGTGGGAGGGGAGCAGGGAGCCGGTGACCTTTTAGGCTCAGGACCAGGCAAAGGTGAAGGAAAATACCATTCTGAGACAAAGTGATTAGGGGAAGGTGCCCTAATTGAGACCCCCCCACGTTGGGGAAGCTCTCCTCTGTCCTACATATTATACGGTTCTTGGCCTTTTGGGAAGGGGGTCACTGCTATTTTCTTCAGTCTCCCCTTGAGGATATGTCCCAAACACTCAGGTGTCACATCATCCCCTAGGCAGTTCAATCACAGTCTGCCATGGATGAGCTGGATGGTAACTATGGGAGCAAAGAGCTTACCCTTCACCTGTTGTTCACCCTTTAACTCCCCCTTCAATTCACCACTGTTCCCATTACACAGATGAAACCAGCTCGGAGAGTAAGGGGTCAGTCCTCTCACTTTGGGGTATTGATACTTCATTCTCATCTATATTAAAGTAACTCTGGTTGATCCTGGCAAGGTACTAGACAGTTTCAGGCCCCCAGAGCCCCATCAGTAGGAGTTTGGACCTTGATTGTTTTTCTGTGGTCACCATAACAAATTACTACTAATTTAGTGGCTTAAAACAACACAATTGTATTATACAATAGAAGCCAGAAGTCTGACATGGGTGTTCCTGGGTTAAAATCAAGATGTCAGCAGGGCTGTATTTCTTCTTGAGGTTTTCAGCTAGAAACACCTTTCACAGCTTCTAAAAGCAACCTGAAGTCAGTGGCTGGTGATCTCCCTCCATCTTCAAAGACACAGCTTATCCAATGGATTGCCCTTCCAGCCATACATGTTTCTCCTGCTTAGTTCTGCCTCCTTCTTCCACCTTTTTTCTTTTTTTTCTTTCTTAAGATTTATTTTTATTTTATTTATGGAAATGTGTGTGTACCTGTGTAAATGAATGTCACATGTATGTGGGTTCCCTTGGAGGCCAGAAGAGGGTATCAGATATCCTGGAGCTGGAGTTACAGGCTGTTGTAAGCTGTCCCATGTGGGTGCTGGAAGCTGAACTCAGGGCCTCTGAAAGAGCAGGAAGCTGGGGTAAAATATGCTAGGCAGGCTCTCCACTGGGCTACACCAACTCCTGCTTCACTTTTGTTTGTTGGGGGGTTAGTTTGAGGGGTTTTGTGTGGGTATGGTATGGGGGGGTGCACATGCCTTTGTGTGCACATGTGGTGGCCAGAGGAGGTTGTTGGGTGTCTTCCTCTCTCTCTCTCTGCCTTATTTCCTTGAGACAAAATCTCTCACTGAATCTGAAGCTCACCATTTTGGCTTGGCTGGCTGTCCAGCAGCTTCTGGGATCTGAATATCTCCACTCCCCAATGCTGGGGTTTCAGGCAAGCATGGCCATGCCAGACTTTTCCATGGGTGCTGGGAATTTGAACTCAGGTACTCAGGTTTGTGTAGCACTGAAGTACTGAATGTATCATGTTTTCCTCTCCCCCTGCCCTTTTTTTGTGACTTTGTCTCTGTAGCCTAGACTGGCCTGAACTCATAGCAGTGTTCTCCTGCCTCCATCTCTTGAGTGCTTGAATTGCAGGTATGAGCCACAACATCTGGCATTGATTTTATTTATTTATTTATTTATTTATTTATTTATTATAGGTCTCATGTTGCCCAGGCCAGCCTTGAACTCCTTATCCTCCTGCCTCAGCCCTCAGCTTCTCATGTGAGAGGTCTCATTGGAGACCCTCTTTGAGTATTGGACTAATGAAAAAATTACATTGTGAGCAAATGTATCTTATCTTTTTAAATGTTAAGTATGTTCCTACACCAAAAAGTGACATTACAATTTGAGAAGGGCTAGGAAGAAGACTCAGCAGGTAAGAGTGCTTGCTGTTATCACAGAGGACCTGAGTTCAGTTCCCAGCCCCAAAGACAGCTCACAACTACCGTAACTCCAGCTTCCAGGGATCTGATTCCTACTTTGGCCTCTGAGGGCACCCAAAGGTATATGACATATGGCATTCACTCACATAAACACACATAAATAAATAAAAATAAACCTTAAAGAAACAATTTGAGTACATTCCAGGACACAAGTACCAGTTTTGAAGATCACTAGCCAGGCATTTTGTAGAACATCCCATAATGTTGGACTTTCTGAGGTGCCTTAGCGTAGCACAGCACAGGCACCTGGTATCTATGTGGCTCATCACAGATGTGTTGAATTTGATCACCTGGTGGATGGTGTCTGCCAGTTGTCTCCACTGCAGTTACTTTTTATACCATGCCTTGGGAATGAGTTACTAAGTGATCAGGGAGAGGACTTAAGGTCCACCTCAGGGAGGGTCAAGTATCTATATACACTCTGAGTTCTGTTTGAGATAGGGTCTCATTTAGCCCAGCCTGGCCTTGAACTCTGTGGCCAAGGGTAACCTTAACTCATGATCCTCCTGCCTCTATCATTCCCAAGTGCCAAGAAGATTTATGTAGTGTTAAGGATCAAACCTGCATTTTGGTGTATAGGCGGCCAATCTACCAACTGAACTACATCTCCAGTCCTAGAATTTTTCTTAAAGACTTACCCTCTCTCTAATATTTATTCAGTTATTTATTCCACAGAAGCCAGAAGAGAGCATTAGATCCCTTGGAGTTGAAGTTACAGATAACTAGTAGTGAGCCTTTAGACATGGGTGCTAGGAACTGAACTAGGGTCTTCTCCAAGAGTAATATGCACGCTTAATCACTGAGCCATCTCTCCAACCCCTTTATTCAGTTATTTATATCAGTGTGGGATTGTGGGTATTTATTTTATTCTTTGAGTTATACTCCTGACCACTTACTGAAAGGTAAGACTCCACTCTGTGGAAGGGTATCTTTATAGCTGGATTTTCTTAAAGTAATTGACTGAACCAGTGGGTCTGGGTTCAAGTCCTGGATCATACCAGCTGTGTTGTACTGGGCCATTCTGTTCAGTGCCCAAGGTCACCCTCCCAGGGGTGCAGTGGGATGACAGCAATACTTGGGAATGAGGTCATTGGGTTCTAGAAGGTCAAGTCCAAGATTGATTTAAAAGATGGGAATGGTAGTGCAGGCCTTTGGTCCCAGCACTCTGGAGGCAGAGGCAGGCGGATCTCTCTGAGTTCAAGGCCAGCCTGGTCTACACAGTGAGTTCCAGGCCAGCTGGGGTTACAGGGAGAACCTGTCTCAAAAAGACCAAAAAAGATTGATGTCAAATCTCATTCCTGGCATCAGGCTCCATTATTACTTTACGCTGGATATGGGCAGAAAGGCCAGAGGGCAGGATGCCTGTTCTCTATCTCACCATTCTATCCAGGAGGTTTCTGGGTCCCTCCTTTGTGTGTGTGTGTGCACGCGCCTCGCACCTGGGCATGTCCATACGCAGGTCAGAAGTTGATTTGGAGTATTTTCTTTCTTTTTTTTTTTTGTGGTCTTTTTGAGACAGGGTCTCCCTGTAGCCCCAGCTGGCCTGGAATTCACTATGTAAACCAGGCTGGTCTTGAATTCACAGAGATTCCCTCTGCCTCTGCCTCCCAAGTGCTGTGATTAAAGGCGTGTGGCACCATGCCTTGGGGTATTTTCTTCTCTCTCCACTTTGTATTTTTTTAAAGACATGGTCTCTCACTGAACTTAAACTAGAGCTCACTGCCTTGGGTAGACTGGCTAGCCAACTATGTCCTGAGATCTATATAACTCTGCCCCCCTCCCCCCAGTGCCAAGGTTACAAAGGCTACCCTTGGGCTTATCTCATGGGTGGTAGGGATCCCAACTCAGGTCCTCATACTTATACTTTACCCACTGAGCCAGCCCTCTGGGTTGCTCCTTTTCCATGTTAACTTTTGTTGATCTGTAAGTCTGAAGCCAGATTTGTTGGGTTGTTTTGGTGCTGTGGATTGAACTCGGGACCTCCTGAACATAGGCAAGCATTGTGCCTCTAAATTATGTCCCCACTCTAAAACTAGGGTTTTAATATGTTTAATTTTATTTTAGTGATTTGTATTCATTTTATTTACTTTTTAACTTTTTTGAGGTTCAGGGGATCCAGCTCAGGGCCTCATGCATGCCAAGCTTGCACTGTACCACTGAGCTACACTTTAGCCAGCTCATCTGTCTTTTCTTTTTAAGAATTCTGTGCTTAAGGGGCTGGAGAGATAGCTCAGCAGTTAAGAACACTAAATGTTCTTGCAGAAGACCCAGGTTCGAATCCCAGCACCCACATGGCAGCTAACATCTGTCCATAACTCCAGTTCCAGGGGATCCAACAGCCTCTTCTGACCTCCGTGGGCATTTCACAACATGGGTGCACTTACCTACATGCAGGCATAACACTCATACACATAAAATAAAAATAAATAAAATATTTAAAAAAAAGAATTCTGTGCTTAAGAAAAAAATTACATGTGCGAGTATATGATTGCTTGTATATAAGTGTACCCGTGTCGTGCAATGGCCACAGAGGACAGAAGAGGCTGTCAGATCCCTTGGAACTGGAGTTGCAGACAGTTCTTAGCTGTCATGTGGGTACTGGGATTTGAACTGAGTTCTTCTGCAAAAACAGCTAGTGCTCTTAACTGCTGAACTATCTCTCTAGCCCCTCATCTGTATTTTCTTGTCTGAAATTTATGTTACACAGGAGACCCTTCCTCTGATTAATGGACTAATAGAAAAAAAAAAAAAAAAACCTTGTTAAGTAAATGTATCTTATCTTTTAAAATGTCAATTATGTTCCCAAATTGAGTTCAAGGACATTGAGAAGATAGTAGATTAGTAAAAAATGAAATCACTTACTCCCACCATCACCCCAGGGTACATCTCAGATCTACTTGCTAGTGCCCTAGATTCCTAGGGCTCCTCTACTGACTGCTTTGCCTCCTTCCTTAGGACGGAGCCCTTGGACTCCCAAGTTCCTGGCCAGGGAGGAGGAGAAAAAGGAGAGACCCATCTGTCAGGGCTGAGCGTGGCTTGAGGGCCAGGCCATCAGTCCTGGGATGCCTCTGCCTGAGCCCAGTGAACAGGAGGGTGAGAGTGTGAAGCCTGGCCAGGAGCCATCTCCCCAACCTGGCACAGATGTGGTCCCAGCAGCCCCCAAGAAGCCCAGAAAATTCTCCAAACTGGTCCTGCTGACAGCCTCCAAAGACAGTGCCAAAGTGGCTGGTGCCAAGCGCAAAGGAGTGCATTGCATCATGTCCTTGGGGGTACCAGGCCCTGCCACCCTGGCCAAGGCTCTCCTCAAGACCCATCCGGAGGCTCAACGGGCCATTGAGGCAGCCGCCCAAGAGCCCAAGCAGAAGCGCAGCAAGCTGGACCGGGGTGAGGCTCCAGGAGCCACTGCTGTCCCCCTCGAGGCTACCTGGGATTTCAGAGCTGCCACAGGCATCAGGCTCCTGCTCTAAGGGCCCCTGCTGCTCATTTGCCTTCTTTACTTCTCTGAGCATATATAGGAGGTAGAGGGCACAGGGCTTATAAGTGCTGGGTAGGCATGCAGTGAGGAACCTGGGACCCTGACTTAGTCCTTCCCAGTTTTGCCAGGTGGTCTTGCCTCTCTGAGGCTGTCCCCTCTGTATGGTCTGCATGCCTTGCTCCATCACAAAAGTGTTTTTGAGGTTGAGGTAGCCTGTTGCCCATATGCTTCACGCTGGAGGCTGCTGATCACTCCCAAGGTCTTGGCTGCAAATGGCTGTCTCCAAAGGCCTAGGCTTCATGGACCCCCTCTTCCACGTGTTCCACAAACAATTCGTGGCCAGTACAGAAAGCACCTTAATTTCTTCAGTCACCTGAACAGCAGCTGTGCTCACTGGTCACTGGGACTTGAGGCCAGCAGTACCCTAGGGCCCTGCCACAGGTTTGGGGGAAGGGGGTCATGTGCTGCTTCTCTAGGAGCTGTGGGGACTCCCCTCCCTGGCTCTTCCACTCCAGCCTCTTCCATACTGAAATCTCCACAGGATAACACAGGACTTCAGGTTCCTATGGCGAGGCAGCCAGGGAGCAGCCTAAGTAGTTGCAGGCTAAGCAGAGCAGAGTTTACTGGGCAAGATCACCGACCTCCCATTTTACAGTAATGGGATATCAGGAGGTACTGGCCCTGCCCCTGCCTGAGATGTGGTAGGTTTAGAACTGGGTGGGTGGGTAGGTGGTAGCAACAGGCTGTGCCTTTCTCTACATCCAGCCAGACTGGCCACACTACAAGTTACCTCAGACTTTCCTGAGAGCAATGAGGTGACAGGCAACAGAAGGATTGGCTGGGAGCAAGCAGAATAGGGCTGGTGGGTGTCCTGTGAGCACCCAGAGAACAGGGGTAAATGGCCAAGCCTGGAGTGCCCAGTGTGGGGCAGCTTTGGGGCTGAGGCAGGGGAATGAGGTGGGTTGGTGGCCACAGGATGTATTCGCAGAAATCAAGGTCCTGGGACAATCTGGGGGTTGATCTGCTTGTCTGAACACATAGTTCCAAAGTCACTAGAGTTGGGAAGAGATCCGTAGGCCAACAGCACCCAGAGGCCCTTCCTGGGCCACAAGACCACCTCCTGGAGCTGGAAGTCCCCTAACACTTGGGTGTCCTACCACATCTGTATGTGTGTACACACTTAGGCCTACACACTCTGCCCATTTCCACACTGTGAACATCTCAGTCATCCATGTTATCCCTCTGTATGACTTTGCCAATGAGGGTGAGTGTGTTTGTAGTCTGAAGCAGCAGCACTCCCCCTCCCCCCTGTTCGAGGCAGGATATGCCTTTTGAATGAAAATTTAGGGGTACCCAATTGTGGAAGGAGATGAACAGACTGGGTTTCTTCCCATCTGGAAGCAGACCACTCGAGGGACACTGACTGCCATGCATCAGAAGGTGGGGATAAGAAAAGCCAAAGTCCTGGACTTCTATTCGCTAATGCTCCATAGACAGTCCCTTGGGATCAGCCAGGTACTCAGTCTGGAAGCTAGGCATGAAGAAGGGGGAGGGGGCTCTGGGATTTCCATCAGTTAGCTTGACTGGGCAAGAGATCCTGCCTCATTTGGTGAAAATTTAGTGGCAGTAACCTAAGGTCATAGGGGGTCATAGTCTCACTGTTCCCCATGGAATGAGATCCTAAGGCACACAAGATGGAATGTCCTTGTCTATAATTCTGGAGTTCTTGGGTGACCATAAGGGCCCTTAAGCATTCTACCCTCTGCTGGAGCAGTGGCATGGAGGATCTTGGTATGCCAGTTTTCTCTGTGAGTGGTCCAAACAGCCAGTCTTCCTCCCCATGGTTCCTCTATCACAGAGGTGGAAGGTAGAGTCCCAGAACCTGTAGGAGGTTGGGCTCAGAGGGGTTATCACTGCCCTGAGGCCACCTGTAGAGAGAAGGGTGGGGTCTGGCTGGGAGCCTGTTCTTCCCACAGCTGGTGGAGTGGAAACATTTTGAGGGTCCCTCTCATGGTTTTGAGAGATTGTGACCTGCTGCTTGACTAAGTCCAGGCTCTGCAGCCTTAGGGCTTCTGTAAGAATTGGGACAAAACTCGATTCATGTGAAATACAAAGCCCTGTAGGGCTGCACGAAGCAGGCACTCTTGGTGAGTGGACTTCTCACACATGCTGCCTCCTCCCTGCCCTCTATCCCCACACAGACTTCCTTGCCTCCACCCCAGGCCAGGCAGTAAGGATGATCAGCTTCCTTCTCTCAGCTGATACCTGGAAATAACTTTAGCAGCCTTTGTGACCTTTGTAGCTTTTAGTCTCAGCATCCCTGGAGTGATAATCACTTCTCTAAGTCAGCTAACAAAGACATCTGGTTCCATACTCCCCTCTGAGAAGGCAGGGCCGGGGTGGTTCTCAGCTTTCAGTAGACCACTGGAGGGCCTGGGCCAGCTTTTCTCACCCCTTTTTTATTTGCTACTAGCCTGACCTGCTTACCTCTCTTCCAGATGCAGATGGCCCAGAAGACAAAGGATTGGTAGGAGTGGCTCCTCCCGAAGGTCCTGGGGAAGAGACTGCTGTCCTTCCTGAGGTGCCCAGTGCGTCTCCATAACCTTGGCAGTGGCCACAGCATGTACTTGCTGCATAAGTTACTATTGTAAGCAAGGAAAAAAAAAAAAAAAGAATAAAAAGCTGTGTACTATTTCCCACCATAGGCAGAACTCAGGTCCTTGGGGACCAGCTCCAACTCCTTCCGGCTTTCCTTCCTATCCCAGACTTGCCTGGCCTGGCTTCACAGTTGGGCCCCTTCAGCTTGGAAAACCAGCTGTTGGCATAAGTAGCAATGGTTCCCAAGGTATTTCCTTCATGCTGCCCTTGGCCTGAAAGGGGACACAGAGTTCTTGCTGTAGACCCAGGGTAGCCTGACCCTCCTCTCTGCCTGATCTTTCCCTCTCCAAGAAGTCCCTCAGATTGCTGGCTCCCAGGCATGGAGTTCCAATCCCTTCCCTGCAGGCACCACTGAGGGAGGGGTGAACCTGCACCCGACACTTGTCAGGGATCTGCCCAGGGTCCTAACAAGTACAAGGGCAGCCCCTCATGTTCTTTTCAGACATCTGGGGCTACAAGAGATCATACACACACAACCTGAGCCCCTCTCTAGTCTGGAGGGGAGATGAAAGAAAACAGCTACTTTCCTCCTCCAACACCCAAGAGTCATGTGCTCTCAGACCCCCCAGGGCAAAGGTTTTGATCTCCAGTCCTTTCACCTGTGGGTCCTTATTTGAAAACCACCTCAAGGCACAAAAAAAGTTAGTTTTTTTTTGTTTTTTTTTTTTTGTTGTTGTTTTTTGATGTAGGATGTAGGGGCCCTGAGCTCCGAACATGTTTTCAAAATTAATCACTAAATGTTTATTGGCCACCTCTGAAACAGATACTTGGCACATATTCTGCCATTTTACCATATTGCTTTTACAGGGTCGTCGTCGTTTAGAATATTGATATTCAGTTCCAAGCCTGGAACTTGGAAGATTTTTTTTGTTCTGATTTTCTGTTTAAATAGAGTCCATTGTTCTTTCTCCTTTGCTGTGTGCATTTAGTTGTATGGTTTTGTCAGTTGATAAGAAGACCTGGGGCTAGGGAGATGGCTTAGTTGGTAAACTGCTTGCTGCTCAGGCATGAGACCTGAGTTTGAACCCCAGCACCCATATTAAAAACAACAACAACAACAAAAAAAAAAACCCAGCCCCTGTGCTGCATGCCTGTAATTCCCATTCTGAGAGAGACAGAAGGATCCCTGGGGCTTGTTGGCCAGCTAGTGTAGTCAAATCAGCGAGATTCAGGTTCAGTGAGAGACCCAGGTCCAAAAATTAAGATGCAGAGCAATTAAGGAAAACACCTGATGTTGATCTCTGGCCTCTACACGCAGGCACAAGCACACTAAAGAAGGCTGAAGGAGAATGACTCCAAAGAAAGCGAGGGAGGAGGAGCGGGGCAGAAACTGCTGGGCAGATCCTCCTGGGAACGGGTGAGGGCGCCCGAAGTCTGCGGTCACTCTGGCTCCTCCGCGGTGCCTGGCGGTGAGCGCCCCCTGGAGGGCGGTCCTGTACTATCAAGCTCAGTCCTTCACTGCAGATCTCCAGACGCACAGACAGGACCAGGCACCCTGGCTTCTTTCAGGGCGGAGGGGTGGGGGGAAGGCGGGAAAGGGTGGAGTAGTCGTCATTACTGACCCTGAGATGGCTGACTATAGGGAGAGTGAGATCTGTCCTCATCACCCGCTGAGACAATGTCCATAGGGCAAGAACATCTAAGATTTTGTACACCTTATCTGGGCCTAGTAAAGCCTGAAATCTCAGCTACTTAAGAAGCTGAGGCAAGGAAGATCACAAGTTCAAGATCTGCCTGAGCTACAGAGTTCAGGTCCAACTTGGGGCAATTTCTCTAGATCTTGTCTAAAATACTTTTGAGGTGGCAGGTGGGCAAGGGACTGGGGAATACAGCTTCCTGGTAGTGCACTTGTTAAGCATGAGTGAGGCCCTAGGTTCACTGCTCAGCAAGGGGAGACTCCCTTATGGTGCACTATGTCTATTGCTTCATGGTTCTGTCCCCGCTTTCCGGCACCATATAAGGTTAGCACTATCAGGGAAAGGATCTCTGTCTACTTGGGTTCCTGGTTTCATAGTGTAGACTTGGGGATGGGGGCTGGGGGTCGAGTGGAGAGGCCAAGCCCTGAAAGCACAGAGGAGAAAGGATGTCAGAAGCTGGTGTCACACCTACAACAGGAAAAGGAGGTGGGAAGGCATAGCACATGCAGGAGCCTGCCAGTTAGGACTCTGAAGCAGTGTTACAGCAGAAAAGAGCATTAAGTGGAGTAGTCCTCCCCACCCAAGCAAGCCACCTGCTTCTGCCTCCTGAATACTGGGATTACAGGTGTGCAAACCGCCATGCTTGGTTCTTTGTTTGCTTTGTCTTATATTTTATTTATAATTTTTATTTTATGTGTATGAATATGTCCTGCATTGCCCACGGAGGTCAGAAGAAGGTGTCGGATTCCCTGGAACTGGAGTTATGGATGGTTGTTAACTGCCATGTGGGTGCTGGGAATTGAACCCAGGTCCTCTGCAAGAGCAGTCACTGCTCTTAAACACTGAGCCATCTCTCCAGCCCTTGTTTTGTTTTTTTGAGACAGGGTCTCACTATGTAGTAGCCCTCATTAGCTTGGAATTTGCTTTGTAGAATGGGCTGGTCTTGAAGTCACAGGGATTTGTCTGCCTCTGCCTCTTGAGTACTGGGATTAAAGGCATGCACCATCAAGCCCAGTTTACAACTTTATTTATTCATTTTTGGTCTTTTTGAGATAGGGTCTCCCTGTAGCTCCAGCTGGCCTGGACTCTTTATGTAGACCAGGCTGGCCTCGAGCTCACAGAGCTTCTTTGCCTGCCTCTGCTTCCTGAGTGCTGGGATTAAAGGCCTGTACCACCAAGCCTGGCAAAACTTTATTTTTTGAGACAGGGTTTCTTGGGCCTTGAACTCCTGATCATTCTTCCTCTATCTTCCAAGTCTCTGAGATTACTGGTGTAGATACCAAACTGTCATTCTTTTTTTGTTTTCTTTGTTTTGAGAACAGGGTCTCATGTAGCCCAGGCTGGCTTCACACTCGATATGTAGCTGAGGACAGACTTGAACTCCTGATTCTCTTGCTTCCATTTCATTTGTGCCCCAGCACATCCAGCTCTGTTATATCATTATTTATTTTGAATCTCAAATTGTCCTGGCCTGGGCGTGTGGGTCATTTAATGGTTTCAAAGTGCTGCATAAGAAAGTTCAGGAAGGTGACCTGCCTAAGGATGCATTTAAGCCAAGGCTTCCACTTGAAAAACTGCCAAGTCTCTGGGCGAGGTGGTGCATACCTTTAGTCCCAGCACTCGGGAAGCAGAGGTAGGCAGATCTTTGTGAGTTCGAAGCCAGCCTTGTCTACATAGAGCATTCCAGGCAGCTGGGGATACAGGAAGACCCTGTGTCAAAAAGACAAAAATAAATTTGTTTTAAATAAATAAATTTTTTAAAAGCAACAAAAAAGAAAAACTGCCAAGTCAAATCCCAAGGAAGGTCCTGGGACTCTCAATACCGCTCACCTGCCCCGCCCCTTTTGACATGCGCCCCGCCCCCGGATGCCCTTGTCCAATTCTGGGTCGTGTAGGCCTCCTTCGTGATTGATGAGCCCGCCCCTGAAAGCCGATTGGCCAGGACGTCCGCTTGGACGCCACGCAGGGAAGACCCGGAGAAGCGGCTTTCGCGCTGGGAATGGCTCCGCGGCTCTGCTGCGCATGCACGCTGGAAGCGTCTGGGGCGTTCCGAGCCGGCTCCCCGCGGGGGCGCGCGCGCGAGCTCGGGCTCGCTGCCCAGGGGGCAGTTAGCGACGGGAGCGGGCACTGGGGTCGTGGCAAGTGAGCGGCCCAGCCGCTAGGCCGATGCCTGCGGTTGCGGAGGCCGACGCCAGGGATCGCCGCGACTCGGTTGCCAGAGAGGGAGGGCCGGCTGTGGTCGGTGAGGACGGGCCCCAGCGGGCGGGAGGGTCCTGGCCGGCGGATGACTGGGAGTCTGGCTGCCTCGCGGCCCGGGCCTAGTACTGGGAAAGGACCCCTGGCTCTGCATCCTGGGCTCGCGCCGCCTCCTTATCGCCCCCCTGCGGTGCGCCTCGTTTCTCCCTTTGCCCTTCCACCCCCCACCCAACCCCTAGACCGAGCCTGACACCCGCAAATCGGGTACCCCACATGCGCTCACCACCACCACCCCCGGCCGTGTCCACCCTTCCCAGTGCGCGTCCACCCGGCTGCGTCCTCGGTCGCGGGCCATGCTTGCAGCTGCAGGTCCCAGTGACCTTGCACTTTTTGAAGCTTGTTACCCCTCCTGCCACTTCTGACTATAGAATGCCCGTTCTGGCTTTCAAACTTTGTAATTCAGCCTAAACTGAGAAGTACTTTTGCGTGTATACTCTGCCAGAGGACAGATTCGTGAATCACAAGTTTAAAGAGAGCCGCTTACCTGGCTCACATGACGCAGATCTAGCCAGGCTCTGTTCTAATTCATTCCATTCGATTCCATATGACTGCTGTGCTAACCCATTTATTCAAGACCTAGTTTATCTGACAGCTTTAGACCTTCCTTTTCCCCTTGCACTTGGACGATGCTGTCCTCCACAATCAGATTACTATTTCTAAGAAGGGTCTTTTTTTTTTTTTTTTTTTAAACAGTTTTTTTTTTTTGTGTGCATAACCACTCCTGTCCTTTTTTTTGTTTTTTTTTTTTTTTTTGGTCTTTTTGAGACAGGGTCTCCCTGTAGCCTCAGCTGTCCTGGAACTCGCTATGTAGACCAGGCTGGCCGCGAACTCCCAAAGACCTGCCTGCCTCTGCCTCCCATGTGCTAGGATTAAAGGCGTGCCCCCCCCCGCCAGGCTTTTTTTTTTTTTTTTTAAACAGTTTTTTTTTTTTGTGTGCATAACCACTCCTGTCCTTTTTTTTGTTTTTTTTTTTTTTTTTGGTCTTTTTGAGACAGGGTCTCCCTGTAGCCTCAGCTGTCCTGGAACTCGCTATGTAGACCAGGCTGGCCGCGAACTCCCAAAGACCTGCCTGCCTCTGCCTCCCATGTGCTAGGATTAAAGGCGTGCGCCACCACGCCAGGCTTTTTTTTTTTTTTTTTAAAGACAGTTTTGCTTTCCAGGGTCCATACCATTGCTGAGCCTTGATTTAGGTTTTCTGGTGTAATTCATTTAGCTTTATCTCATTCCTCTTCCAAGTGCCACTAGTCCAACTTGTGGGAAAAAAAGCAGTAAGGTTGGGGCTAAGGGACCATCTTAAGGCAAAACTGATATGCTAAGCTCAGATAGAGATGACTTTTGCATGAGGAAATGTAAGCTTTAAGGAGAGTAGCTTATCAGTGCTCTTGGGGAGAATCGGAGTGGTCACATGCTGAAGACTACTGGAGCACTGTGGGGATGGTGACAGGAAAGCAGGTGGAAGATCGGTGTGATCACATTCACAGGGAGTGAATTTGATAGCCTATCAGGCTAGGTAAAGGAGTAAGACTAGCCAAGATTCTGACCTAGGATAGTTGGGGAATATATTAGGTTTCCATATCTGTGTGTGTGTGTGTGTGCGTGGGTGCGCGAGTGCGCTTGTGTATGTGCAGGTAGAGGCCAGAGGAGGACATCAGGCAAGCTGCCTTATCACTGGCTACTTTAATCCTTTGAGACAGGGTTTCTCACTGAACCTGAAGTTATTCTGCAGGCCAGCAAGCCCCAGCTGTTGTTCTTTGTTTCCCACAGCGCTGAGATTTCAGGCTTGCAGCCTGACCTGGCTTTTTACATGGGTGCTAGTATCTGAACTCAGGTCCTTGTGTTTGCACAGCAAGTTCTCTTATCCTCTAAGCCATCTCTCCAGGCCCCCAAGCTTTCCATATCTGTAACAAAAGACTTAAGTAGTAGAGCACTTGCCTATCATGCATAAGGCCCTAAGTTTAATCCTCAACATTAGAAAAAGAGAGGGGCAGTGGGGAGAACATTTTTCTTTGCAGTGGGGATACTGGGTAGCAATGGCCAGGAGCACATAATTGAGCAAGCTGCTTACCTCATGGCCAACATGTAAGAGTGAGAAGAAGCGGGGCTTGGAGAGATGACTCTGTGGTTAAGAGCAATGGCTGCTCTTGCAGGGGACTGGAGTTCAATTCCTAGCACCCACATGGCAGCTAACAACATCTGTAACTCCAGTTCCAGGGGATCTGACACCCTCTTCTGACCTCCACGGGCATTGCACAACACAGGTGTACTTACATGCAGGCAATATACTCACACATAAAATAAAAATAATAAATTTTTTAAAAAGAGTGAGATGGTCTGGAGAGCTGGCTCAGCAGTTAAGAGCACTGGCTGCTCTTGCAGAGGACCCAGGTTTGGGTCCCAGAACCCACATGGTAGCTAACAACCATCCATTCATAACTCCAGTTCCAGGGGAATCTGACACCCTCTGCTGACCTCCACGGGTATGCTTATACATATGCAGGCAATAAATTCATACACATAAAATTTTTTAAAAATAAGTAAAAATTTAAGTAAATAAAATATTTTTAAAGAGTGAGAAGGGGCTGAGGTCCTGCTGTACCCCTCAAGAGCATACCCCCCAATGACCTAAGGACCTTCCCCAAAGGTTTCACTATCTCCCAGCAGTGCCACTGTGGACCTTTTCAGAGTGTGGCGGGGGGGCGCATTCACCATCCAGATTACAGCAGGGGATATTGTGCTTGGGCTCCCACACCTGAAATCTCTGCAACCTCTATATTTCTAAATTGCTTTGGAGCAGTGGCCTGAGAGCCCTGGAGAGCCCCCCACCCCACCCAGAGGGCAGCCAGCCATATTGGTGCTACAGTAACTTGGGATGCAGGGTGTGGTGGCATTTGCTTTTAATCCCAGCATTTGGGAAGCAGAGGCAGGCTAATCTCTGTGAGTTCAAGGCCATCATGGTCTACATAGTGAGACCCTGCCTCAAAAAAAAATAATTTAAATAAATAACTTAGGGGAAAGGACTGATAGTGGCATCTAATACACAGAAGCCAGGGGTACTGCTAAATGTCCTACAGAGCGCAGGACACCCCCCCAATCCTCATAGTGACGCAGGGTCTGGTGCAGAAGGCTGAAACCCACTTAAGCCCCACTCTAATGTAGTAAATGCTAATCTTTGAGAAGATTGTTCCCACCTTCAACCTGTCTCAGGAGTGATGCTGTCCACATATGGTCTGGACGGACATGTAATCTGAGGAAAGTAAACAGTGCTGTATGTACAGTTTGTGCATGTAATCACAGGATTTACAAACCAGGCAAAGTACACTTAATTTCATGGCTCATTGAAGGAGAAGTCTATTAGAGGGGCCATTGAGCTCATGTAGAAGATTATTTTCTTTTTTTTAACCTTTTGTTTTTTGGGTTTTTTTGAGACAGGGTCTCCCTGTAGCCCCAGCTGGCCTGGAACTTACTATGTAGACCAGGCTGGCCTTGAACTCACAGAGATCCACCTTCCTCTGCCTCCCAAGTGCTGGAATTAAAGACATGCACTACTTACAGTAGCTTATCCATCACTTTGTGTGTGTGTGTGTGTGGTGTTTGGGGAGTATGTGTATATACATGTGTGTATGAATGGGTGTGTATGTATGATGGTATATACCTGTGTGTACACATGCAGAGACTGGAGGGGGTTGTCAGGGATGTCATGAGTTTGCTCGATTACTCTCCAGTCTTATTTTTTGAGGCTGGATCTCAGACTGAACCTGAAGCTCACAGTTTCATCTAGTCTGGGTAGCAGCGAGTTCCTGGGATCTACCTGGCTCCACACCCCAATCCTGAGGTTATAGACCAGTATGTAATGATGTTTTATGTGGGTGCTTTCACAGCAAGTGCTCCTACCTACTGAGCCATCTCTCCAGCCTCTCATTCACAAATTTCCTACTTTGTAGAAGAGTAGCTAGAGAAGTTTGGGGCCTGTCTCAGGTCTCCTACCAGGCAAAGAAGCATGATATAGTTTTCTCTCCCATGTAAGGTAACTGTTGCTCTGCTGTTAGCTTCCAAGAGAGGCCCCTGGTTTTCAGGACCTTAGTTAGCAGTTAGGGTTTGGACTCAGTTGTGTCTGAGATGCACCAGATAATTCTTAATATCATAAGGCTCCTGGGCCTGCCCTGAGTGCCTTGTGACCACCAGTAAGACCACAGTGTCAAAGCAGGCAAGGGTAGTATTTCAAGGCTACAAAGTGAGACCCTGTCTCAAAACAAAACAAAAAGTGTAAAAATTACAATTCTGGAGCCTGGCGTGGTGGCACACGCCTTTAATCCCAGCACTCAGGAAGCAGAGGCATGTGGATCTCTTGAGTTCCAGGCCAGCAGGGGCTACCGGGGACCCTGTCTCAAAAAGACAAAAAAAAAAAAAAAAAAATTCTCTTTATAGGCCTGTGTTTGAAAACTGGGTATTACAAAATGAACACAGTAAAGCCCAAATCAATGGGCAAAGTAAACAATACAAGGCTGGGTATGGTGGCACACATCTGTAATTCCAGCACTTGGAGGTAGAAACAGGAGGATCAGGCATTCAAGACGAGCCTTAGCTACATAATGAGTTTGATGCCAGCTTGAGCTACATGAGACAGGCTTCCCTGTCTCAAAAAAATAAAAATAGTCTGAAGTCATAGTCCATTAGATTGTGGAAGACTGTACTCATCACAGTCCAAGGGGAAGACACATCTGTAAGATTTGCAACTGGGTATTTAATGGCACTTTCTGGAAGTGAAGGTCCTAAGAAGCCAAACAGGAAATTCAGGGTAACCCAGAGATTAGCCATGGCTAGAAAGTACTACCGTAGCTGGAGGGACAACATGGTGGACACATTGCCCATGCAGGCAGTTGTGAGAACACCTGCTCTCCTTGGATCCTAGAGTGCATCTCATTGACTAAATTTATCTTGAAGCCCTGTGGTGCAAGACTAATAAATTACTGTTGCATGATTTTTCTTGGGGAGACTTTCTATTCACCCCAGATAGAGAGGACTATGACAGGATCTATTAGATGGCCCATTGGGTAAAGGTGCTTACTGCCAAACATGACAACCTGAGTTCGATCCCTTGGACCCACATGGTAAGAGGAATCAACTCTTATAGGTTGTCCTCTGATCTCCACCTGTGCAGCCTGGCATGTACATGCGCACACACGCATGCATGTATGCACGCACACATTTATATATTAAATATAATTAAAAACATCAGAAGAGACAATGATAGAACAAAGAATTTCATCCAAGTCCAGCTTGGGCAACAGGGAGTTTATTGGATTTACTGATAGAAGCATGGGTGAGGGGTTACTTACAGAAGCATGAGTGACCTGGAAGCTGCCTCACCTAGAAACCTACCCCAGTGTAGGTGACAGCTCATGAGAGCTACATCCCTGGAGTTCCCTGTGTCCAGGAAGGCTACACCTTCATAGAACCCCCCCCCCACCAAATATTTACCACTTACATGACATTTGGGGAGACCCCATCAGTCCCTTTTGCGAGTTATGAGTTTCATAATCTTAGAGCATCCCCCTCCCTCCATGAGGGAGTACCAGTGGGGGTGTCAGATCTCTGTGTGTGTGCGTGTGTGTGTGTGTGTGTGTGTGTGTGTGTGTGAGTGTGAGTGGATTGCTTCCATGTGTGTAAGTGCACCTGTCGTGCAGTGCCTGAGGAGGTTGCTGTTGGATCTCCTGAAACTGGAGTTTTGGAAGGTTGTTAGCCACCATGTGGGTGCTGGGAATCGAACCTAGGTCCTCTGCAAGAGCAGTCAGTGCTCTTAACCACTGGACATCTCTCTAGCCCCTAGGGAAGATCTCTTAAGAATCTCAATAGCTGCTCTGATTCAAGATGCTAGTGATCATGTGATTATGTCTAACCCAGAGGAGACAGTTACACAATTACAAATGAGCTTGTGTGTAAGGACACATGGACTCAGCTGACCACTTACTAGAAGGCAGAGCTCCACTCCATAGAGCAGTTTTTGTTGTAGCTGTCATTTCCTAAACACCTGCTGCTTGTGGACAGAAAACTACATGTTGGCTCCAGAGCAGCCAGACCTGGGTTCAGGTTTTGTCTTTCATGAACTATGTGGTCCTGGGCCACTCTACCTAGAGTGCTAAGACTACCATCTTCCCAGAAGCAAAGTGGGATGATGGTGACACTTGGGAAGGAGGCTCTTGTGTTACAGTAAAGGAGAGCAAGGCTGGTGTCATAGGATCCCATTGCTGACAGGTCTCAGGTCAAGGGTGGCGAGGTGAAGTTAGGCAAGTCACTTGTGTGCTTAGCATGGGCAAGAGTACCAAAGGAGCCAGAGGAATAGAATGTACCTTACACTTTCTCCCCACTTCATTCTAGTACTGGAGATTTGTAGTTGCTGCTTCCATCCTAGATCCATTCATTCCAGGATCCAGAGACCTTGGGAGATGAGGGATGGGACTTCTAGTAGACAGGGCCTTTGAATTTCTTGCCAAGGAGACACCCAAAGGATTTTTGCCTTAGTTCTCAGGTTCTCCCAAGTCCCTGGCAACCCAGAGGAGGAGGAGTCCTTAGCTTCCCTGGGGCTGGACTAGGTACTCCATCTTTTGGCCTAACTTAGAATTTCCCCTCCTGATTTGGTGGCTGCTGCCCTGGCTCTAGTCAGTAGATAGCACCAGCTAGAAAAGACTGTTAGGGATGCAACGCCCCTCTAGCCTTCAGCCTTGGCTTCGGTGCTGGACCCCAGAGTTCATCAAGCCTTTGGGGAGCTGACTATGGGCCCCCAAATCAGGGAGCTGTGGGGCATAAGTGGGAGACCAGGAGGAATTGGACCCACAGAATTTGTAGTGTGGTGACAGTTCCCCAGTAAAGAAGCTAAACATGAGTGAGAGAGGGTGGCTCAGTGGTTAAGGACACTTACTGTTCTTGTAGATGATCTGGGTTTGGTTTTCAGCTCCCACATAGTAGCTTATAACCACCTGCAACTCCAGTTAGAGGGGATCCCACCCATTCTACTGACCCCCATGAGCATGTGGTGCCTACCTATACACTCAGGCACTCAGACATATTCATAAATTGTTTTTTTTTTTTTTTAATTAAAAAAGAAGCTGGGCATGGTGGCGCATACCTTTAATCCCAGCACACGGGAAGTAGAGACAGGCAGATCTCTGTAAGTTCAGTGTAGCTTGGTCTATATAGCAAGTTCCAGCACAGCCAGGGCTGCATAATGAAACCCTGTCCCCAAAAAAGAAACAAACATTTCTTTAAAAGAAGCTAAAAATGGGGGCTGGAGAGATGGCTCAGTGGTTAAGAACACTGGTTGTTCTTGCAGAAGACCTGAGTTAGAATCCCAGCACCCACATGGCAGCTAACAACTGTCTGTAACTCCAGTTCCAGGGGATCCGACGGCCTCTTTTGTCCTCTGTGGACATTGCACAACACGGGTGCACTTATAATAATAAAATTTTTTAAAAACTTAAAAAAAAAAAAGAAGAAGAAGCTACAAATGTCCAGGGTGCTGGTCTTTTTTAGTGACTCTTACTGAAACACCTCACCATCCATACACTACTCATTTGTCCCAGAAAGACACAAAGTTTAGCCCACCCTGTGCTGGCACCCTATATTCCATCCTTCTCTAGGCTAGAGACCTGGAGCCCCAAAGCAACACCAGGAACAGCAGGTGCAAAGTTACTACTAGGTCTATCTAGGTCAGGGGATGGACTGTGTGAGCCCTTAGAAGGCCCCACTTCCCAGGGCCAGGCTTCAACTTTCTGCTGTGTGAAGTGCTAATACTCACTCACCTGTATTCCTTGAGACAAGTGCCCAGCATTGAGGTGAGGTGCACAGGGTCAGAGAAAGCCCAGGTAGGCCCCCAGGCGTCTGAGCAGACACAGTGTGTTTTAACTTATAGACTCCATTCTCAGGCCTATCAGGTTCCTGTGTCCTTACCTGTATGCTGAGTCAAGAAGAATGATCGCCTGGTAACACAGGCTGGAGAGGATTTGTGCTAGGCACAGATGTGGCTTCTCAGGTAGAAACTCAGTTACTAGTATATTAGTCACCAACAGCCCTGGAGAGGTACTTACTGTGCAGGGTACTGATATAAAGGGAAGGTTTGGATGGGGCTACCAGGAGAAGAACTAGCAGAGTGGAAGCATAGGCCTAGGGCCCTCAGTTATATCAGGTCTTTGCTGCCTCTCGACCACAGGGCCCTGAAGAAGCCCCATCTTCCCCAAGATCCATCACAGATCCATTTGTTAGCTCCCCAGGCCCACAGGCCTCCTCTACTAATGCCTTGGCTCCTCTCTTAGGACAGAATCTCTGGACTCCCATTTTCTTTCCAGGGAGGAAGAGAAGGAGGGGAAGGAGAGACCCATCTGTCAAGAGGATTGAGTGGCCTGAGGGACAGACTGTCAATCCCAAGATGCCCCTGCCTGAGCCCAGCGAGCAGGAGGGTGCAAGTTTAAAGGCTGGCGAGGAGCCATCTCATGGGGCCAGGAAGCCCCAAGAGTTCTCCAGTCTAGTCCTGGCAAAGGGTAAGGGGGGCTCCAAGCCGACTGGTGTCATGTCCCTGGAGATGTCTGGCCCAGCTACCGTATCCAGCACCCCCCAAACCTTGCCAGCCAAGAAGCAGGGGCGGATAATCCATCGAAAACGCAGCAGGGTGGATGCAGGTGAGATTCTCTGGCCCAAGCTCCTCTGTGGGCCTGTGCACCTCTATTTCCAGCAGGGGGATACCCCACTGCCCTTTCAGTTGAGCCGCCTAGTCTCTTAAGCACATCCTGATTCAGGCTGGGATACTAGTCATTTGATGTCATCCCTGTGTCCCAGGTACTAGGCCCTCCCCAAACCCATGGGAACTGCAACAATGTGCAGAATTCCCTAAACTCCTTAAATTTCTTCCCTATTATAAAGCAGCTTGTAGAACCTGGGCTTCTTGCCTGGCAGACAGGAGCCTGAGGAAACATTCTGTCTAAAGGACCCTGCCCTATTCCAGGACTTCTGGCCTTAAACCGTGCCCTAGGGAATGCTAACTCAGGCTTCCTTTTATCTCCAGTTGCCCCCCAGCCTTTGGAGTTCCTGAGGACCCCGTTTGGGGGCCGCCTCCTGGTGCATAAGTCATTCTTGTACAAGCAGGAGAAGGCTGTGGGGGACAAGGTGTATTGGAAGTGCCGCCAGCATTCGGAGCTGAGCTGCCGGGGACGGGCCATCACCCGTGGCCTGCGAGTCACAGTGATGCGGGATCACTGTCACCCACCTGATGAGGAGGGCCTGGAGGTTCGGCGCCAGAAGGAGAAGCTACCCAGCTCAGACCTGCCTGAGGGCTCTGAAGGCCAAGAGGATGGGGTTAGCCTATGGCTGTACCCTGTGGAACCAGAGCCCACCTCCCAGGAAGACAATGAAGCCCCAGAGGAAGATGAGGGGTACCGAGCCCTGGCACTACAGTGCTTGCCTCCCAAGAAGCGCCCCACACCTGGAGTGAGTGAGTACATGCCTGAGTTGGTTGTTTTATGCCCAAGTAAAAATGTGAGGTCCTACGTGGTTTCTCAAAATATGCTCAAAAAAAAAAAATAGAAATGTGGACTGGGTGTGGTGGTGCATGCTTTGGGTCCTAGTATTCTGGAGGCCAAGAGATATTGATCTCTGTGGATTCAAGGCCAACCTGGTCTACATAACAGATTCCAAACCAGCCAGGACTACACAGTGAGACCCTGTCTCGAAAAATCCAAAAAATGAAATAAAAGATAAATGTGTCCCAATTATCATTAAGCCCATTAAGGCCATGGGGATCCCAAGGCCTTCCAGAATTTTCCAGTACAGCAGGACCTGCCTGGTATGGGGCCCAGAAATCTACACTTTAATGTGCAGGCTTCAGCAATTCCAGTGTTGTTAAATTTGGGCAAGGTTCTCAGGGGCAAAGTTTGGGCTTTGGGTCCCAGGTTCAAATTCTTTTTTTTTTTTTCTTAATTTTTAATTTTTATTTTATGTGTATGCATGTATTGCCTGCATGTAGGTAAGTGTACCTGTGTTGTGCAATGTCCACAGAGGACAGAAGAGGCTGTCGGATCCCCTGGAACTGGAGTTCGGACAGATGTTAGCTGCCATATGGGTGCTGGGATTCGAACCCAGGTCTTCTGCAAGAACAGTGTTCTTACCACTGAGCCATCTCTCCAGCCCCTGCAGGTTTAAATTCTAACCCTGTAGATGGGAGCCTACAGCCTCAGAAAATTCACATATATTCTGAGGTCTCAGGAGCTTATTCCTGAGGCAGTTGTGACAGTCTAGACAGTTGTGGAGCTTGTGGGCAAGCCATGCTCTGTACTTGCTTAGCTAGGCGAGAGGCAGTGTGAGTTCTTAGGGTTATTTTTGTTGTTTTGATTTTTTTTGGTCTTTTTTGAGACAGGGTCTCCCAGTAGCCCCAGCTGATCTGGAACTCACTATGTAGACCAGGCTGGCCTTGAACTCACAGAGATCTGCCTGCCTCTGCCTCCGGAGTGCTGGGATTAAAGGCATGTGCCACCACTCCCAGCTGTTTTTAATTTTTTTTAAAATATTGTTTTTATTTTATGTGTATGAGTGTTATGCCTGCATGTAGGTAAGTATACCCATGTCGTGCAATGCCCAAGGAGGACAGAAGAGGCCGTTGGATCCCCTGGGACTGGAGTTACGGACAGTTGTTAGCTGCCATGTGGGTGCTGGGATTCAAACCCGGGTCTTCTGCAAGAACAGTGTTCTTAACCGTTAAGCCATCTCTCAAGCCCTCTTAGGGTTGTTTTTTATTGCTAACAACTAGAAGGCAGGCTTGGCTGCTGGGATTCAAACCCGGGTCTTCTGCAAGAACAGTGTTCTTAACCGTTAAGCCATCTCTCAAGCCCTCTTAGGGTTGTTTTTTATTGCTAACAACTAGAAGGCAGGCTTGGCTGCTGGGATTCAAACCCGGGTCTTCTGCAAGAACAGTGTTCTTAACCGTTAAGCCATCTCTCAAGCCCTCTTAGGGTTGTTTTTTATTGCTAACAACTAGAAGGCAGGCTTGGCTTCTAAGAGGCTGAATGCCATGTAGGGCAGGGTGGGAGGCTTCTTTTTCAGTGTGCATCTGTTAAGACTATTTGAGTGTGTGCCTATTTTTTTTTAATATTTTATTTATTATTTTTATTTTATGTGTACATGTGTATTGCCTGCGTGTGGGTAAGTGCACCTGTGTCATGCAATGCCTGTGGAGGACAGAAGAGGCCATCAGATCCCCTGGAACTGGACAGTTGTTAGCTGCCATGTGGGTGCTGCGATTCGACCTGGATCTTCTGCAAGAACAGCCAGTGTTCTTAACCACTGAGCCATCTCTCCAGCCCCATGTGTGCCATGTTACTCAAAAAGAAGGGTTGGGGGTGTTGCTCAGTGATAGAGCACCTGCCTAGCATGCTTGAGGCCCTAGGTTCAGTCGTCTATACTGCAAAAACAAAAACAAAATTGTAAAAAAAATTTTAAATCAACCCTAGAAAAATATGGCCACTTGGTGAGTCAGAGCCCCTCCCAGTATAGTGTGACTTGGTGAGCGAGCAGTCCTCCCTGATCTGGGGTAGGATCCCCAGCTTCTCTTAGGTGGCTGCTGGGTGGCTTGGTGGGAATGAACTGGGCTTCACACATGCTCAGCTTGGAAGCATGTAAACATACAGGAGAAAAGCACATGGCAGTCCCTCCTGGGACACCTGGGCTCCTTCCCTTGGTATGACTATCCTGGGTCCTTCCTCTAGTACGGTATCGGCCCCTGGAGTTCCTGAAGACATGCTATGGAGGTACCTTCTTGGTGCACCAGTCCTTCCTCTACAAGCGGGAGAAGACCGTGGGGAGCAAGGTGTACTGGACCTGCCGGGACCATGCAGTACATGGCTGCCGTAGCCGTGCCATCACCCAGGGCCAACGGGTGACAGTGATGCGCAGCCACTGCCACTCACCTGACATGGAGGGCCTAAAGGCCCGACGACAGCAGGAGAAGACCATAAAGAAGATACAGGCAAGGCGGATTGGTGCTGGGGACTTGGACGACAGTGATGACTGTGAGGATACACTGCTCCAAGGGGTGGACAGTCTGTTCTACCGCAGGGGGCGGGGGACCCTGACTCTCACCAGGTCCCGGTCCAGAAAGAGAGCAAAGGAGCGTCCTGAAGCCTCACAGGGATCCCCTGAGGAAGAGGACCAGGATGTAGACCCCAGTGAGTCTTCATGTTTGGGGACTTGCAGCCAGAGCTGGCCAGCCTCAGTCTGGCTTCCTGATGTCCTGGGAGGTGGGGGTGATCCAACTTGCCCACCCCCTGCATGCTCAATCTGCCTCCTCTGCCCCAGCCACCTGACTGCCTCTCCTATACCCTGCAGGAGGCCCAGAGTTCCTGAGGACACCTCTAGGGGGCAGTTTCCTGGTATATGAGTCCTTCCTCTACAGGCGAGAGAAGGCTGCTGGTGAGAAGGTGTACTGGACTTGCCGGGACCAGGCACGCATGGGCTGTCGCAGCCGAGCCATCACTCAGGGCAAGCAGGTGACTGTGATGCGTGGCCACTGTCACCCACCTGATCTGTTAGGATTGGAGACTCTGAGGCAGCGGGAGAAACGTCCTGGCCCCACTCAGTGGGACAACCCAGGTACCTAGGGAGACCCCACAGCCTTCTCTACTGGCCACTCATGTCCTGCTCTCCTTCCTTCTGCAAACATTCTAGAAATCAGTCCTCCTGGCCCTTCCCATTTCTGGCCCACACACTTAGAAAACTGGGAGCCCTCTCCCAGGTCTTTCCTCACCTGCCCCCAGAACCCATTCTTCCTGCCCTGAAACCTGATAAGCCCAGATTCCTTCTCTTCTCTGTTATTTTAAGTTTCTAGTAAGTGGTGCTGAGTGTGTGAGGTCAGGTCCTCATCCCTATACTATAAGCAAAGGGCAACAAGCATGCCTTAGAGTCTGTTAACTGAAAGAGCCAAACCTCTCTGTAGCTTTGTCCATCAAACACTTGTACAACACGGTCCCAGCTCTACCTATCTGGCTGCCCAACAGAGCCTGGTGTCTGCCTAAGAAGAGCAGTTATAGCCAGCTTCTGAACCAGTTCTCCATTCTCCAGCCCACACTCACCAGTCTCCTAGTTCTGAGTATTTAGAGTCATCGTGAATTGCCTTTTGGCCCTATAGTTATTCCAAATTTGGGAGGTATTTTATCCTCCTGATTCCCTTTTAGTTCAGTTTCCATGATACCTTATAAACAGGGAGATGCCAGGATGTGCCATGTGTCTGACTAAACCCTCACCCCCTTACATCCCTACTCCAAGCATTTCTTTTCCTCATGTGTTAAAATGTATTTCTATTGCTGTTAATCCATATTTCATATCCTTGTTACCTGCTGGCTTCCAACCAGAGGAAGTGATGATTTGGTCTCACTGTACCTTTAGAATAGGTTTTAGTTTCACATTCTGTGTGTATATGCCATGGCATATGTGTGGAGGTCAGAGGACAGCTTGCAGAGTCAATTCTCTCCTTCCATCATATAGGTTCTAGTGATTGAACTCAGGTCATTCAGGCTTGGTGGCAAGTACCTTTACTCACTGAGTCATCTCACAGGCCTTGGTGTCACATTCTTATCAAATTCTGTCACAGCTGAGCCGTGACTGTCCTGCATTTTCACTTCCTTCCCTGTGTGACCCCTCTGCTATGCAGCAGCTGCTGCATCAGCCTCTTTCTGGGGACCCATCACTGCCTCCTTCTTTCTTCTCAATCCTTGCACGGAGCGCATCAACAAACAGGTCCAAAATTTGCTGGTGACAGTCTTCCAGGCCCTACTTTAGCCTGGGTTCCCTTGGCCAGACACCGTACCTCTAGGCTTGCTTTTTCTTGGTCTTCCCTGCCCCCTACCCCCCTTTTTGTGTGTTTTAGGAGATCACTGTGCACATTCCTAAGCCAGTAACCTGGGAGGACCCATTTGAGATCCTACCCATCTAGAGCTGTTGGTAATCTCCCTACACAGTTGCTGGACAGTGTGGTTATGTGCAGGTTCTAGACCATACAGTGACCCTCCACGGTAGCTGAGTTTGTTAGGAAGTAGCATGATGTTTTTCCAGTGTTTGACCCTTTATATGTGACCAGATTTCCCTTGAAGACCCAGAGTCTTCTGTGTGTCCCTGGTGTACCCAGCTTATGGGGTCATTAGGGGCCTTTTCATATCACAGTTTGTGCCCTTCAACATAGTGATCTTTTGCATCCCTTCTCTTGTTATCCAGACATTGGTCCTCCTGGCATGAACCCCTATCATTTTTACAGTACTTTCAAAGATTTCCTTGTTTTGTTTTCTGATCCTTCTATTTAAGTTTCTGCCCTCACAGTGGAAGGCTTCCTTTGCATTGCTCCCAGGCCCAGAAGTGTGGTAGCCTCTGCCTGGGAAGGCATGTTGTCTCCACCTGCCTGCCTATGTCTCTGCCTTCCAGCTTGAAGCTTTTCTCATGTGCAGTGACTATCTAGAACTGCTCATATTGAAAGCAGACTCTACCCACTCTGTACACAGGGTCTGACTTTGTCTCTGTAGAGCTGGCAGCTTGAGTTCTGGGTCTTAGACAGGAAAATGGGTGTTAGTGTGAACACAGACTTCTGTCTTCTCCCTTCATGTGTCTCACTCACTAGACCACTCCACCTTGTCTCTTTGCTCTTCATGAGTATAAACCTTTGTAGCCCTGGTACTTCTAGTTCTCAGCCTCTCTGGCTCAGCCATTGGATCCTGCTGGCCTCCAGCCACTGTCTACCATGCTTGGTGGAGTTCTTACCTTGCTGCACGATTTGACTGAGTTCTTCTTTTTAAGTTTTTAAATATCTTTTTTAAAAAATATTCTATTATTTTTATTTTATGTCTATGAATGTATTGCCTGCATGTATGTGAGTGCACCCATGTCATACAATGCCTCAGAGGTCAGAAGAGGGCTTCGGATTCTCCTGGAACTGGAGTTAAGGACGGTTCATAGCTGTCATGTGGGTGCTGGGAATCGAACCTGGGTCCTCTGCAAGAGCAGTCAGTGCTCTTAACCACTGAGCCATCTCTTCAGCCCCTTCTTTTTAAGTTTTTAAAAACTATTTTATTATTTTTAATTTTACATGTATGAATGTATTGCAGGCATGCATATAAATGTACCCATACTGTACAATGCCCATGGAGGTCAGAGGAGGGTATTAAATTTCCCTGGAACTGGAGCTACGTACAGCTGTTAGCTGCCCATATGGGTGCTGAGAATTGAACCCCGGTCCCCTGTAAGAGCAACTCTGAGCCACCTCTCCAGCTCTTGGCTGAGTTCTTCTTTTGCCATTTGCTGCTCTTCTGCCTAGACTGATTCTGTTGGTGTCTTTGGCTTGCTGGCTTGCTGTTTCTCTGGCCTTGGGGAACCATTTTTATTTCCTGACAAACATTTTAACCCAGTGTGGAAGGAGATGGGTCATGCCCTACCGTCACAAATCTTAGTCCCCTCAGCCTGACATCCCCTTTCCTACGGGCTGTCTCTCTGTCCCCAGGCCTCTGTGCTGCTTTGCTTTGCATGTATCCTCTTACCTCCTTGGCCTCCGTGTTCTACTTGCCCTTCTTCCCCACCTTTTTCTAAGTGTTCTGGAACTAGATGCCTCTACCTCAGCCCTCACCTTCTCAGGGCTTTCTTCCTTGCACTGGTTTCCACTGTCATCTGATGACGCTCTAGTCTGTCTCTGGCCACCTCTATACAATCCCGGTACCTGGACAGAGTTGGGGAGTCCCCTGAGCAGGGCTAGGCTTGCCTCCAGGCTCCTTCCACTACTACAGGTGTAGCCTCAGCTCTGCTTAGCTCTCAGGGGAGTGACCCCCATACCCAGACCTGGAACTGGAGGTTTACCCTCTCTTCTTCAGCTTTGAGCTGCATTGTCCCCAACTCACTCTTCAGACTGAGCAGGTACATATATGCCTGCCTTCTGGCCTGAAGGATACCCAGCATAGATGAGCAAGCACGGTGATAGCACCTTCATGTGGCATCATCATGGGGCCTTCTCCCTGTAGGGTCTGGCCTGGCCAGTCTCTAACCTCAGGACAGACCTGGCAGCTGAGGACGCAGGGGGGTTTGGGGATATAGGGCCTCCCACTGAGGTGGGATCTCCTCAAGATCTATGGTGTTCTTGGCCCTGGAAAAAGACACTCCCTGCTCCCTCCCTCCTACATCCAGATTCCATGTCCCCTTCCCAGACTGCCTCTCCCACATCTTTGCAGAAGGCCCGGAGTTCCTGAAGACGCCTCTAGGGGGCAGCTTCCTGGTGTATGAGTCCTTCCTTTACCGGCGGGAGAAGGCAACTGGTGATAAGGTGTACTGGACTTGTCGGGACCAGGCACGCATGGGCTGTCGCAGCCGCGCGATCACACAGGGCCAGCGGGTGATGGTCATGCGCCGGCACTGCCACCCACCTGACATGGGCGGCCTAGAAGCCCTGAGGCAGCGGGAGAACTTCCCCAACCTGACCCACTGGGAAGGCCCAGGTACGTGGAGGGAGAGTGGGCAGGGGCTGGGTCCTGGTATCTCCATTGCCTTGTGGCACCCCAGCCCTTTCTGGGTTCTGTGATTAAAGCACTAATTTTACCATGCAATTGACTGTTACTGAGAGATACTAGCTTTAGCCCAAAGAAAAAGTGGGGATGGCAGGTCAGGGGTGATATGGCTGGCAAGTTATAGGAAGTGTGCCCATCACTATGACTGGGTCATGGGGACCCTCCATCACTGGGGTCTCCTGTCTTTTTCCTGTCTTCCTCTGTCTTCTCCCTGAACCTGTTCTGTCCAGCTTCTGTTTTCACATGTTATCTCTGGCACACCCCAAGTGTCTCATGACCTTTCAGTTTAGTTACTTAAAAGTTCGAGAATTGGCTTTGTGGTGAGCTGGTAGAGGGGTTGGAGGGGTTGGGTGGACAGAGAACTGGCAGGCCTCCACTGCGTAGACCAGATAAGCCACAAGCCCCCCACCCCCAGCAAGGCCCCCCATCCACCCTGGAGGACCTGCAGCAAGCATGGAATTTGTGGTCAGGTGAGGCCTTCAGCAGAGCTTCTGGGACAGCTTACTGCACATTGAACCTCATTAGGCAGTACTGGAGCCCCTGCAAAGGAAATCCAGTCTGCAGTAGAGAGTGTCAGGGCTCTGGGCTAAACCTCAGTCCCTAGGGTCTCAAGGTGCAAACAAGTGGGAACAGGGATCAGAAGTAGGTCTTTTTGTGATTGCAGTTAGCAGGGAAAGGCCTAGTCCCCTGTTGCCAAGGGCTGGATTCCAGTGGTCCCCTCACAGTGTGGCTTTCCTCCCAGAGCCCTTGCAGCCCCTAGAGTTCCTGCGGACATCTCTTGGGGGCCGGTTCCTGGTGTACGAGTCCTTCCTGTACAGGAAGGAGAAAGCTGCTGGTGAGAAGGTATACTGGATGTGCCGGGACCAGGCCCGGTTGGGCTGCCGCAGCCGTGCCATCACCCAGGGCCGGCGGGTCATGGTGATGCGGAGCCACTGCCACCCACCTGACGTGGCCAGCTTGGAGGCCCTGAGGCAACGAGAGAGGCTTCCCAATGCTACCCAGAAGAAGCCCAGGTATATACTTTGTGCTTAGCTTCTGCCTTTCCAGAACCTTTGCCTCTCATTTCTACTAGCTGCTTCATGACATGAAACCATACCTACCTCTGCCCAGGCCTTAGAACCAGCTCCCATTCCAACTCCCTCCTCTTTTATTCTAAGACTGCCCAACACTATAGGTCATTATCTCTTGAAAAATGTGCTGAAAAATATAGATTACCCCCGAGAAGGATGTTCATGTACATGCACCACAGACAAAGTTTGCAAATAATTTTATTGAATTGAATGGCAGCACGCACATGGCAGTAAACAACTGTTTGTAACTACACTTCCAGAGGGATCTGACACCCTCTTCTGTCCTCTGTGAGCACTGCATGACACAGGTACATTTACATACATGCAGGCATAACACTCATACATATAAAATTAAATAATTTATTTTTTTGTCTTTTTGAGAGAGGGTCTCCCTGTAGCCCCAGCTGTCCTGGAACTCACTATGTAGACCATGCTGGCCTCGAACTCACTCAAACTCACTATGTAGCTGAGAATAATCCTTTCTGATCCTCCTGCCTCTACCTCACAAGTGCTAGGATTACAGATGTGTGCTACCACACCCAGTTTATGTAATGCTAGGGATCAAACCCAGGGTTTCATGCATGCTAACTAACCACTTGACTAATTATGCTGCATTCCTACCCCCCCCCCCAGCTTTTAATTTTTTAGTTTTTTGAGTCAGGTCTTTCTCTGTAGACCAGGCTAGGCTTGGACTATAACTCAGTGGTAAAACACTTGTCTACCATGTGCAAAGGCCTTGGGTTCTATCTCCAGCATTCTTTTAAAATATTCTATTTATTATTTTATGTGTACGAGTGTATTGCCTGCATGTGTGTAAGTGCACCCCTGTTATGCAATATCTGAAGAGGTCAGAAGAGGGTGTTGGATTCCCCTGGAACTGGAGTAATGGATGGTTGTTAGCTGCCATGTGGTGCTGGGAATTGAACCTAGGTCCTCTGTAAGAGCAGTCAGTGCTCTTAACTTCTGAGCTCTCTCCAGCCCCTATCTCCAGCACTCTTAAAAACAAATGACAACAACAACAACAAAAGTAGGGACTGCAGGAGCTTTGGCACTGTGGAGGCATCTCTTCTTTGATGTCTAATATATTCCCAATTCTTGTGATGACAAGGACTGAAGACCCCCTCTTAGAATCTAAAAGCTTTGAGGGATCAAAATTATAGCAGTAATTGGGCTGGGTGGTTCTCTGACTCATGGTCTTATGGAATTTAGGAAAAGAGGTCACCTTCTGAGGGCTCAAGGAGGACTAGAAGTCCACTTCAAGGTGACAATTCACACACGGCTGTGGTCTGTGTGACTCGGCTTATCCACATGAATCTTACCTTAGGCCTGCTTGAGTGTCCTCAGACATGGCAGTCCCCCCCCACCCAAAGTGGGTGATCAAGAGAGCAAGGAAGCCCCCCCCCCAACCAGGCAACAGCAGCAGAGTCCCTATCCTCCTAAGTACTCATGAAATTTTGTCCAGGGTAGACAATATCTAGGCCATGAAACAAATCTCTACACATTTGAAAGGTTGGAATTATCATACAAAGTGCTTCTTTAACTACAATGGAATGATAGAAAGCCATAATCACAAAATTTTGGGATCATACAAGTATATGGAAATTAAACAACACACTATGAAAAAAATAATAAGCCAAAGAAGATATCACAAGGGAAATGGGAAACACCTTTGAAGTGAATGAAAATAAATACAGTGTACCAAAACTTAGGAGACACAGCAAAATCAGTACTTAAAAGAAAATTTATAACTGCAAACATACATATGTAAAAAGCTGAGTATGGTGGTGCATATCTGTAATCCCAGTACTCAAAAGGCCAAGGCAAAATGATTGCCCAAAGTTTGAGGCCATTCTGGGCCACAAAGTAAGTTTAAGCCTAAGGTAAAGAGTCAGACCCTGCCTCAAAAAACAAAAAAAGGAGGGAGGGGAGGAAGAGAGACACTGTATTACCACATAGGATTAAAAAAGAATCATGGGGCTAGAGAGATGGCTCATCAGTTAAGAGTGCTTGCTGCTCTAATGGAGGACCTGAGTTCAGATTCCAGCACTGATGTCATGAGGCTCAGAACTGCTTGTGAACTCCAGCTCCAGGGGATCCATTGCCCTCTTCTGGCCTCTTCTGGCACCTGCACCCACATGGCATAAACCCAGTGTGGTGGCACACACCTTTAATCCCAGCACTCAGGAGGCAGAGGCAGGGCAAATCTCTGTGAGTTCAAGGCTAGCCTGGTCTACATAGCAAGTTGCAGGCCAGCCAGGGCTACACAGTGAGACCCTGTCTCAAAAAAAAAAATTAAAAAATAAAATAACAAAGCCAAGCATGATGGCACACACTCAGAAGGCAGAGGCTGCTGGATCTCTGAGTTTAAGGCCACCTGGTCTACATAGTGAGTTCCAGGTCAGCTGGGGCTACAGGGAGACCCTGTCTCAAAAAAGACCAAATAATATAACAATAATAATAATAATAATAATATAATATAATAATAAAAATCATAGGATGATATTACAAACAACATTTATCAGTATGACAAAAGATTCAATAATTTAATTCCTGGAGAGAGGGTCTGGGGCCATAGTTCAGTGGTAGAAGGCCTGTTCAGTATGCAAGGGACTCTGGGTTTAACAACAAGGTTCTGAGAGAAAGATATAAGCTACAAAAACTGAAGAAGAAATTAGAGCAGGGTGTCACCTCAGAAGCAGATTCTCCAGCCCTTCTTGAGTCTTCAGATGAATGTGGTCCTGGTAACAGTGTTTCCTCACCTTCATGACGAGTCAGAACCACTTGGCTCTACCACTCCTATAATTTTGATCCCCAAAAGCTGTCTTGAAATGATTTGTGCCAATACATTAAGATAACTAAGATTACCTATAAGTCTGATGGCTTTTAGAAGTCTCCAAGAACAGTTGAACTTTAGGTACTTAGGAAAAAAATTAGAGCATATGTCTATAGTCCTATCACTCTGTGTGGTGTGTGTGTGTGTATGTGCGTGCACGTGCATGCATGTGCGCACACATATGTGCATGTGTAAGTAAAAAATAAAAATCTTTAAAAATTTTTTTATATTATGTGTATGAGTGTTTTGCCTACATGTATGTAAGTGCCCCCATGTTGTGCAGTGCCAGTGGAGGTCAGAAGAGGGTGTTGGATCCCCTGGAACTGGAATTACAGTCAGTTGTTAACTGCCATGTGGGTGCTGGAATCTAGCCTGGGTCCTCTGGAAGAACTGCAAGTGTTCTTAGCTGAGCCATCTCTCCAGCCCCTAAAAATAGATCTTTAAAAAAAAACAGGTGGGCATGGTGGTACACACCTTTAGTCCTAGCACTTGGGAGGCAGAGGCAGGCAGATCTCTATGAGTTCAAGGCCAGCTTGGTCTACATAGTGAGTTCCAGGCCAGCTGGGACTATAGGGAGACCCTGTCTCAAAAAGGCAAAAAAGAAAAAAAAAAAAAAAAAAAAAAAAGTCTCAGGCTGGGAGGTATGGCTGAATGGGAGAGCGCTGGCTTAGCATGAATAAAATCCTAATTTTAATCTCCAGTTAAAAAAAACCTAACCCGAGAACTGGGACTGCAGTTCCCTCACAGAATTTTGCCTGGTATACGTGAAGCCCTGGGTTTCAAGAAATTGGCATGTATGTTTGTGTAAAAATGATCTTGCCAGTAGTTAACTTTCCAAGAATCCTTAACTTTATTGCCTTTTTTTAAAAAAACCACAAATAAGGCTTTGTAATGATACACATTTCTCTATCATCAGAAAGATCAAAAATCTAAAACTGGACAGCAAATCCCAATGAGATGAGTCTCCTCTGAAGCAAGAGAGGAGCAGCTGACACCACAGATGCTTCCTGTCCACGCAGGCATTTCCCATCCACTTAGATCGCTTGCCAAAAACTTTCACAAAGCATCGACGGCCTCCATATTCCCTCAGAGGTCTTCCAGGAGGAGTGCTTGGACCTTGGATGGTGTCCTGTGTTGGCAAAAAAGTAGAGCCCAGAGCTGGTGGGTGGCTTGCAGACCTGTGCCATACTGCTGCCTCCTTCTGACCTTGGAAAGCTGTGGAGAGGTCTGTCTGGACTGAGATACCTTGACCCTGCTCTGCTGCTCCAAGCCTCATCATCCATCTGCTTTTAGAGCATGCAGCTTTGCAGAGAACTTTCCAGTGGGGTGTGGTGAGCTCCGTCAAGTTCAGTGAAATGAAGTCGTCCTAGCCAGGATATGTGTAGGAGGTTCTTGTCACCCTCTGAAGACAGTACAAGCCACACCAGGTTTTTTGCATCTTTTATGGACAGGTGCTGGGTTCTTCCTGGTCTTTTAAAACACTTGCTACCTACTAGGATGTAGCTAGCCGCCCCCCCCCGCCAAGACAGAGCAGGCCAGTCCTGAGGCTTTGCTCGCTATACCTCCAGCTAGACTTTGCTTCCTGTATTGTTCTCCAACTTAAATTAAACTTGTGTCTACAGTTCTCTTGGCAGGTGTAGTTCCTGGCAGTGGGAACCAGCCCAGATGTCAGCAGGAAGTGGCACTGGGTAGGCACTCTGGTGGCAGCTGCACCACTGTGGGTTGCCCACATGGTGTCACCCAATGCACAAGGAGAGTTAGATGGCAGGGAGACACACCTCTTCTGTTGAGGAACTTAACAGAGCTAAATGAGCCACCCTAGGTGCAAAACTTCCTGGAAATTACACCAGACAGAATTGTCTCTGTCCTGTCATTGTGGAGCTGCAGGCTTCTCTCACCTGGCCTTGGAGCAGCCACTGTGTGGCATCGTAATGGCCTGGGGCCTCCCACTGGCTTCTGCTAATCTGCTTCCCTCAGTAAACTACTTAGTCTCATGGGGGCAGAGTTTCTGTGTGCACACCCCCCTTTGCAACAATACCTGGCCACCACAAAGCCACACACAGTCTGTGTCATATGATGGGGAAGCAGTGAGTTTGGTTGGTGACTCCTGAGCAATGAAGCTCACTTGGCCTAGACCAAGACTGGGAGGGGGGACCTGGGGAGGGGCTGCTGAGGGGTTTGCTCCCAGCCATAGGGAAGGGCCCTGAGGAGTGGGCTATGTGCCACCACCCCTCAGCCTGAGTCCTCCATGAGCTTACTCACATGAGTTGCTATAATCCCAAAGTGGAAGTGGCACCCCCAAAAGCCAGGTTTACTTCCTGAAGCCCTGGCTACTCTCCACTTTTCATCTTATCCCATTTCCTGACTGACTACTGGCCACCCTGGGCCTCCACCTAAGATCTGCCTCCAGTCAAAAAGAGGGTCCAGGGGCTGAGGAGATGGCTCAGTTGGTAAGGTGCTTGCTGCACAAGCATGAGGACCTCTGAGTTCAGATTCCCAGTACCCATGTAAAAAGCCGGGCATAGTGGCACCCATCAATAACCCTGTCACTGGGTAGGTAGAGATAGGAGGATTAACAAAAGAAGGCAAATGGGTTTGTATTAGTCAGGGTTCTCCAAAGAAACAGAACCGGTAGAATGAATATATATAGAGAGAGATTTATCAGCTTAGCTCACAGGATAGAGTCCGAGCAGTCCAACAATGGCTGCACCACACTGGAGAGGCTGAGAATCTGCAGTCGCTCAGTCCATGAGGCTGGATGTCTCTGTAGTCCCAATCTGGCACTGAAGGTCTGACGAATTTCAAAAGATCAGCTAGTCTTTAGTCTACAGCAGCAAGACAACTCACCAGCGAGAGAGAAGGCAAGCAGCTAGAAGCCAGGCCGGCTCCTCTACCTTGGCCTTTTATATGGGCTGCCATCAGAAGGTAACACCCACATTTAGGGTGTGTCTTCCAGTTTCAGATGATCCAATCAAGAAGATCTCATTTCAGTTAATCCCAGATCCAGTCACATTGACACTCAGGATTAGCCATCACAGGGTTCCTGTATTTTTTTTTTTTTTTTGTCTTTTTTGAGACAGGGTCTCCTCGTAGCCCCAGCTGTCCAGGAACTCATTATGTAGACCAGGCTGGCCTCGAACTCACAAAGATCTGCCTGCCTCTGCCTCTCAAGTGCTGGGATTAAAGGCATGTGCCACCATGCCCGGCTGTTGTTTCGTTTTTTGATGCAGGGTCTCTGTACCCCAGCTGTCGTGGAACTCACTATGTAGACCAGGCTGGTCTTGGTCTCCCTGCCTCTGGCTCCCCATATTTTAATAGACATCCCCATTTCTTGCTTCTGACTCTGCCAGGGCCCCAGCTACTCACCTTTTGACTGCAACAGCTTCCATATGCACGTGTGTCTCCAAAACCCTTCTCAACAATCTGCCCCTTTCTAAAATGCAGACATCACCACAGCACCTGCCCTGGAGCCTCTCCCTGGCTGTGTGCATCAGATATAATTACCTAATTTAAAGGACCAGAAGCCAGAGTTATACTCAATGATATCTCCAGAGGACTTCAGGTCTTCCTCTACTTCCCTCATCCTACAGCCTCCTCTGAGAGACCAAAAGAAGATGGCCAGGATACTGGGTGGAACCAATCTCCTGGTCCCCATTCTGAAGTCACAGGTAAAGGGCTCTAATAGGCCCAGTGTCATCCACTTGACTACAGAAGGGTACAGCCATCATGGGCACAATGCTGGTTGGGGCCTCTGCCAAAAAAAAAAGGGCTTAGTGACTTCTGAGCATGCTCTTGGTTCTAGTTTCTCCATTACTGTGACAAAATACTCTGATCAGTAATACCAACTTGGGGAGAAAAGCGTTTATTTGGCTTACATCTCCTGGGTAAGGAGCCCAAGGGAGGAGCTCAGGGCAGGAACCTTGAGGCAGGAGCTGAAGCACAGACCATGGAAGAACGCTGCTTAATGGCTTGCTTCCTGGCCATGCTCAGTCTGCTTTCTTACTCAGTACGGGACCACCTACCCAGGGGTGGCACTGCCCACAGTGGGCTGGGTTCTCCCATATCACTCAACAATCAAGACATGGCCATAGATATCGCCTACATTGCCAAAACATGGCCTACAGACATGGCCACAGGCCAGTCTAATGGAGGCAATTCCCCAACTGAGGCTTCCTCAACCTGGGTGTGTCAAGTTGACACTATAGCTATCTAGCACACTCTCCTTGCAGCCTCAGGCACTACTATACCCTGCCTGCAAGGGCCTCACCCCTCACTACCCTCAAACCTGTCAGCCTGTGCTTCCCAGCATACATTATTGCTTTGGGAAAAATAACAGCTGAAAACTCCCATTTATCTCATGGTTTGGGTTCAGTCTAGGAACACTGAACAAGGTCCTCTGCTCAGGGCCTCACGAGGCTGTAATCAAGGTGGCAGCTGGGGCTGGGGGCTCACCTGTAGTTTGAGGTCCTTTCCAAAGCTCACACAGCTATGAGCAGAATCCAGACTCTGGAAAGTTCACTGACCAAGCCAGGTCATTCAGGTTCATCATACGTGTGCCCCCCCCCCACCCTTTTTTTTTTTTTTTTTTTTGATAATCGGTCTCAAAATGAACATGCCCATAGACCCAACACTCAGGAGGTTAAGGTAGGAGGATCTTAAATTTGAGGCCTGCTGGGGCTATATAGCAAGTTCCAGGCCAGCCTGAGCTACATAGCAGACCCTGTCAAGAGCAGGGATTAGGAGTTAGAGGAGGTAAGGCAGGGCCTCATGTTGCTACCCAAGCTAGTCTTGATCTTTTGGCCTCAAGTAATCCTGCTGACTCAGACTGCCAACTTAACTAAGACCATAGGCACGCCACTGTTCTGGCCCCAGCTCTTACTTAACTGAGACAATTCAATTAATTAGAGACCTTAATTAGTCTGCATCAATCCCTCCGGCATTGCCACATAGCATGACCTAATCAAAGAGCGTTGGTTTACTCAGTTCTGTCTGCACTCAAGGGGACTGGCTCATGAGCCTGGGGACCTCCAGGGGCAGGAATCTTGGGCCCACTTTTGAATTCTATATGCCATAACCCCTAACCTATTGCCCTTTTTAAAAGTTTTTATTTATATATTTTTCTTTTTGAGACAGGGTCTCCCTGTAGCTTCAGCTGTCCTGGAACTCAGTATGTAGATCAGGCTGGACTTGAACTCACAGAGATCCGCCTGCCTCTGCCTCCCAAGTGCTGAGACTACAGGCATGCGCCACCATGCCCAGCTCTTATTATTTTTATTTTATGTGTATGCGTGTATTGCCTGCATGTAGGTAAGTGCACCTGTGTTGTGCAATGCCCGAGGAGGTTAGAAGAGGCTGTCAGATCCCCTGGGACTGGAGTTACGGACAGCTGTTAGCTGCCATGTGGGTGCTGGGATTCTAACTCGGGTCTTCTGCAAGAACAACCAGTGTTCTTAACTGCTGAGCCATCTCTCCAGCCCCGCCCCCAGCCCTTTCTAATTTACCCTCCCCAACCTGGGGAAGCCCAGAACAATGACCACACGGCTCTACGGCTCTTAGGAGCCCAGGTCACAGTAAGGTGGGTCTAGGAAGGTGGGCAAGGAGGCATGCCCGCAGCAATGCCCTGGCCCAGAAAGCCCCACTAGGTTGTAGTCACAACCAGGGATCCCAGATGTACTCAAGTAGGTCCTAATTCTGTGTTACCTGTGCTGAGACAGGAAGACTCGGGACTGCAAGGGGGACTGCAAGGGATGACGTTGCGGGTGATCCTGGGAAGGAGCCAGACTGATCCTCAACTCTTAAGAGCTCTGCTTGAATAGTTATGGGAGGCTCCTGGGGGATGGAGCCAGGTCAGGTGCAGCTTCCCAGTGCCTGCTGTGTGGTTCACCAGCTACCCTCAAAGACCCCAGGCCTTTACCCCTAGACTATGACTCTCCTTTGGGTCATCACCCCCATGGGAAAGGGTAGAGTAACAGAACCTCTGCTTCTTCAGGGTGGTTTCAGGGAAAGAACACTTCAATGTCACAGGCCAGGGTACAGAACCACTTCTGCTAGTATCTCCCTTCCCTCATGCCTGACATCTGTGTGACAAGGACCCACCCCTCACCCCACTGACATCACATTGCCCTGCTTTCATGAATTCCCTTATTCACATTAATGGATATTTTTTCAAATACTTGCTGGATACTTGATAAATACTATAATTTTCTCTGAAGTATGGGGGAGAGGTCCTCTTCATACCCAAAGCTGAGGGGCAGTCCCAGTACCCTAGGGACCCTCAGGGGGATAGTGGAGAAGGCAGCTGGGGGCCGCTGGGTTCTGAAGAATGGATTCCCAGCTGACCCTCCTCCGGGCTGTGGATGGAAACAAACTGCAGGCTCTTCCCAGGATGAGGGCACCTCCAGCCTGCACAGCACAGCCTCCACTTAGACTTCCAGACCTGGGACAGAGAGTATTGTGAAGAGAGGGAGCTGGGGAGGTGGCTGTGGGCAGAGGCATGAGGTAGGGAGAGAGAGGGCACCTCTTTGAGATAATGACAGACGAAAGCCAGGAGGGTGAGGGGGGCCAAGACTCCTGCAGCAGTGGGGACCCCCCACAAAGGCATATGCAGCCCCCAGCCAGCATCAGTGTCTTCCTGAGAAAAGATGAGATAGAGTGTGGAGCCTGGGGAGACAAGAAGGGAAGCTGGATGGGGTGTGGCTCTCACCTTTCTGCTGCAAACCAGAGGCTTCTGGAACCAGGCCATGGTTGAGTTCCCACCTGTTAGGCTTCCAGGCTCTCAGTCTTCTTCCTCTCAAAAGCCCTCACACACCCCCAGACTCCAAGCTCCAGTCAGTCTTTGTAGCACCAGTAGGCCTAGTCTGATTGCAAATGACCAAACTGTCTAACCATCTCATCCTTCGAAAGTGAAACTCTTCCTTTCCAGGCCCCCTGAGAGGGAGGGGCAGTTAAAAACAAGCATGACCCACTAGCCTCAGCTCCATTGTTGCTCTTACTCAGAGCCTCTCCCTGGCCCTGCAGAAGAATTTCATGGGCTTGGCAGACAGGCAGAGACTCCACCCTCAGGGTTAGCCCGCAATGTCAATTTCCAATAAATCAGGAGAGTTCTCAAGAAATGGAGTCTCCCAGTGCTCCCTGGAGGCTGCTGCTAGATGTAACCAGCACTGGGTTGCTACTCTCCTTCCTCTTCCAGCAGGGCCAAGCTGCTGGACCACTGCTCCACACCCATTTCTCCAGCTGTGGGCATTTGGTGGCATCCTGGTAGGGAAACTAAGTCCCAGAAAGCTCAAGACACGTGTTGAATCTCAAAGAAGACAGACAAAATCAAATCAACATCTGAGCAACTCTCAGCCCTGCCCAGTTGGGACCAGAGCTCGTAAGACAAGCCAGCAGCAGCTTCTGTTACCATGGAAGTGACATGGCCTGATCACATATCTCCCAAGCACACCTACCATACACCATGCCCCACCCTCGCCCAGTTCCTCAGGCCATGATGGAGACAGAGGAGCTAGGTGGCTCAGGAAGTTGTGGGAGAGGGTCATGGTAGGCTCCTGAGATTCAAGCAGCAAACAGCACCCACTTATGACCTATAGCCAAGTGAAGGAAGATGCAGGGGAGATGTGATCCATCAAGAGACAAGTGCAGTTGCCCAGAAGTGAGAAAGGACATGGACCTAGAACAAGAAGACAAGATGCTGAGATGAGAGTGAGGTGGGGAGGGGCAATTTATATCCAAGAACGTACACAAAAAGAACCATGTGCCAATGTACAAGGTGACTTGGAGTAGCAGTATCACAGATGAGAAACCAGGGGATGTTATGACCAAAACTTTGGGGCCCCATTCACCCTAACTCTGATGAACTCTCAGGAAGAGCTGAGCTGAGCTTAAGTGCACACTAGGCAACTCCTGCCTCTGTACTGACTCTGCCCCTCATTGTCCTAGGACAATGCCACCTTTTCACCTTTTCACACTGAATTGGGGAAATCAGACATCATACCTCAAAGAAAGGGCAAGGGCCACCCAGTCTCAGGACACGTCTCTCCTGCCATGCCCAAGTCCTCTGTTCTTATCTTTCTACTACCCTCACATGGTAGATCTGTGCCTACAAATCTATTCCTCAAGGAGGTGCCGAGACTGTATCCTATGTCCGCCAGGGTCAGGATCTTAGGCACTGGTAACCCTAGGCTGATTCCTTCTCTGGTACCTCAACCCCATCAGTGAAAAGAGCTACTGGAGAGACTGCTCCAGGATATCAGCTCTCAGCAGGGGTGTAGAAGGCAGCAGTTGGACTTCTGATCAAGAAATAAGAGAACTAGTAGCAGGTATGCTGTGGTGATGCACACCTTTAATCCCAGAACTCTTGAGGCAGAGTCACATGGATCTCTATGAGTCCAAGGCCAGCTTGGTCTATATAGCAAGTTCCAGATCAGCCAGGGCCACTTTCACTTAGTGAGACAGGGAGGGACAGAGGGAAGGAGGGAGGGACAACTGGTGTCTCTCCATATCTAGATGGTCCTGTGGAGTCAGAGAACCCCAAAGAAGTGGTGTGGGATGGAACAGCATCAGTGTCCAGCACCTGGATCACACCATGCTGGAAGGCAGGCTCCCACACTTAATAACTGGTGAGCCCACAGTTGCCAAGGACCTCTGAGCCCCTGTCCCTGGGTCTGCAGAATGGGGAGATGCAAATGCTCCCTAGGGCCTTGAATGTGTGGACAGGCTGCTGCTTGCACAGTGCTGAATGTGGAATGCTGGGGAAGTGGGGGTTGCAGGGTGTGAGGCCTTTTTTTCTGGAAGGTTCCACAAGCCACCCTGAGTGAAGCTTGTGGCAAGGACACTCTTCCCACTCATTTCCATCTCAGTGTCTCTGCCTGGTTACTGAGTTCCACCTACCTCCCTCTATTTCCCCTTCGCAGAAGATAGGACTGGGTAGACCTACTCCAGACTGTGGCTGGTTGTTTCAGTCCTACAGTCCTGGGAGGTGGGGGAGTTCCTCAGCCAACCCTGCCATGATTCCTGCTCTGCATATGAAGTCCTGATCATTCCAGTTCCTTACCTCACCTTCCTCCACAGGACTGACCCTCACATTTTCTGTATTGGGGGCAGGGTTCCAGGCCACAGAGCCCCCAGCTTCCTCTGGCTCTCAAGCAGGAAAGAGAAAGGACACTCAAGATAGATCCACTTGGGGCTCCTTTGTTACAGGTCTGGAGACCTCTGATAGGGACAGTGCCAGCTGGGAGCCCAGCCTGGCCACTGAGAGAGCTCGGAGAGAAGGTGCCCCTCACTAGCTTACAAATTCAGCATGCCCATCTCCTTGGAAAGCCCCCAGCCCTAGGTACATGTCCCGAAGAGCCTGCGCCTGGGGTGCTAACTGCAAGATCCCCACGGCGATTCTCCCGAATCACTGCCATGCAAGCCTTGGCTTCTCAGAATCTTCCCTGTGTGTCCATTTTGCTTCTCCATCTGCTTCTGAAGTTAGGTGTCCCGAGCCCAGGACTGGAAGAGCTGGATCAGGTCAGCCTGGGTCCAAGGCATACAGGGGCCTAATCAAGGCTGGTCTGATGGGCAAGGGGTCTGGGCAGGGCGTGGTCGTACAGGAATCCCCCCCCATCTCCCTCCCCTGGCCTCCGCCTCCACCATCCCACGCACCTGCGCTGGCCTCCCCCCAAGCCCCGGAGGCAGGCTGCGCTGGGAGATCAGAGGACTCAGAGAAGTTGAGCTCAGGGGGAGGGGGCGGGGAATTTCCCCCCACGCCTGCCTGGGCCTGCTCCCCTCCCCCTCCCCTGCCAGGTGGGGGGCACCGCTGGGGGAATTCCACCACAAGGCTCCGCAAAGCCTGGGCTGGGGTCCTAGGGAGGGGAGGGAATGGAAGAGGGAAAGGAGGCGGGTTGGAACGAGGGGCGCAGCTGCTTTCCTCCCCAGACACCAGCTGCCCCTGCCTGTCGCGGACTGAGCGTCCACAATTTTTGCCTGGCTCGCAGAGGCAGAGAGTGGCACTTCCATCTTCAAGCCAGCCGCTGCGAGACCTGGGGAGGGAGGAGCGTGAGGACTCCAGAGAAGATGTGCGCGTGAGCGTCTTACAATGAATGGGTGATTGCATGGGAGCGCGTGTGCCCTTGAATGAGGGTGCCCGGGAGACTCAGTTGTAGCCGCGGGAAGGGAGTCCTGTATCTCCCTTTTTAGGGTCCTCTAGAAGTCTTTTAGCCTGGCTTGTCCCCCTTTTTACTCTCTAGAACCCACAGGAGGAGAAGGAAGGGGTGGGGAGACCTGCTGGGACGCTGAGGGTGGGGGGGGGGGTGGCAGGCGTGGGAGGCGTCTGGACCTGCTCCCAGCACTCCAGTCCCGGGCGGGGTTTCCAGTCTTCCCTCAAGGGGGAGGGTGGGACCAAGAGGGGAGGGACCTGCAGAGGGACATCAGGAGGGCAGGAGACAGCGTGTTAGAGATTTGGGTGAAGGAGACCCAGAATGTGCGACACAGTTTGAGAAGGTCGATGTGGCGGCTCAGGCACCACCCAGAGCTGCAAAGCAGAGCCTGAGATTACCCTCCGGCCAGATACCTCCCCCAGAGACCCCTGAGAATCGACAGCGGGGGCGGGGTTGGGGAGGCACCTCCAAGGGTCAGAGGTGCCCAGTCCCAGACCGGCGAGCGCCGCCCTAAGCAAGACCAGGACAGAAGATCAGAAGACAACGCCCCCAACCTCAGGTCGCTTGGGAGACCCCAGACGACCCTGGGGGCATCCCAGGCCGTGTCCCAGCCAAAGCGACCTCACTCTGGTTGGGGGAAATGGGGACTCGGCCTCTTCAGGGCCTCCTGCTCCTCTTCTTCCCGCTGCTGCCGCCACGCGGGGCGTCAGCTGGGAGTCTGCACAGTCCAGGTGAGTCAGGCACGACGGCCAGGCCAAGGTCACAGCTCCCTCTTGCGCTAGTGTGTCCAGATGGGCCCCAAGGATGGGGAGGCGGCAGAGCAGGTGGCTGGAGCAACTGGGCAGCCCAGGGATCCCCTCGGGGATGGGAACTAGGGATATTGGCTGGGAACTCAGGCGGAAGTTGAGGTGAGGAGGACCCATGGGCGTCCAGACCTCGCCAGGTCCCGCGGTTGCCGGGCAGGCCTGTCTGAATGCTTCCAGGTGAATGGAGCTGACTACCGCGGCCATCAGAACTATACCGGTCCGCGCGGGGCCGGACGCCCATGTCTCTTCTGGGACCAGACGCAGCAGCACAGCTACAGCAGCGCCAGCGACCCCCAGGGCCGCTGGGGGCTGGGCGCGCACAACTTCTGCAGGTGAGGAGATGGGCCTGTGCTTCGCTTCGGGCATGGCGAGACACGTGGTGGCAGAACGCAAGGCCTCAGTGTGGGCGGAGCGGAGCTTGGACACCACCTCCGGGAAAGATCTAGGGAAGGGGCCTATCTCATACTAGGAATGAGGGCCGGGAATTGGCTTGGGAAAGAGTTTGGCATAAAAGGAGTCGGGCTTAGGTGACTATTTTTCACAGGGCCAGGACAAAAATATCAGGCCAAGGCCCTCAAGGGGCTCCTTGATGCAGACTATGACAGGTTTCTTTGAGAAGCATCTCTTATCCACGAAGAGGCATTCAGAGTCACAGCTTCTGTCTGGAGTGTCAGCCAGGGACTAAGAGGCCCTTCTCTGCTGAACCACAAAGCTTCGGGTTCACCACTTGCATTTCTTTAAAGGGTTTTGAGAAAGAAGTGGTAGAGATCCATTGATAAGGCTGCAAAGTTCTCACATGAGATTAAGTCTTAATACAGTCAAACACCTAAGATCAGCACTCAAGACTCCCCATAATGAATAACTTCTTGCTGTCCCCTCAGTCCAAAAACAGGTAGAGAAAAGTAGAATGTGTGCTGACAGAGAAGCATGGCCTGTTACACAGCCTTGGTGCTCACACTACATGGACCACCAGTAGGATGGTGGGGTCCTGACCAGCTCCCTCCCACCCACAGGAACCCAGATGGTGATGTGCAGCCGTGGTGTTATGTGGCTGAGACAGAAGAGGGCATCTACTGGCGCTACTGTGACATCCCCACCTGTCACAGTAAGTGGACCCAGAATCTTCCCGGGAGGGTCACTTACAGAGGTGGGAGCCTGACCTAGCTGTCTCCACAGTGCCTGGATACCTGGGCTGCTTCATGGACTCTGGGACACCCCCAGCTCTCAGTGGCCCCAGTGGTACCTCCACAAAGCTCACAGTCCAGGTCTGCCTTCGCTTCTGCCGCATGAAGGGTTACCAGGTACTGCTTGTGGGCCCAGACCAGTGATCCCTGACCTCAGGACCCTACTCAATTCCCAACACTGATGCCAAAACTTGACACTGACACCGATTTCTGAACCTCACCAATCCCCACTTCTGACCCCACCACTCCACCCATATCCACTATCCCTGCCTTTGGGTCACCCAGTCTGTGCTCCCAGCTGGCGGGTGTGGAGGCTGGTTATGCCTGCTTCTGTGGCTCTGAAAGCGACCTGGCCCGGGGACGTCCAGCCCCTGCTACTGACTGTGATCAGATCTGTTTTGGCCACCCAGGCCAGCTGTGCGGTGGTGATGGACGACTGGGCATCTATGAAGGTAAGACACAGGCCAGAATGAGGAGTCGAGTCTAGGTGGGATCTGATATCCCCTAATAGGAGTGGAACTGGGACAGCCCTATGCTGGAGTGGGGCAAAAATGGGGAGACTGAGATTGAGGGAAAGATCTGTAGAGCACATGAAGCTGAACCTCATCCTCATGGTGCAGCTTGCACCTGATTAGAGATCTGTCCAAATATGGGGCCTATTGAAAGAAATTTGAGTGGTGCCTGTGTGTGGAGTAGCAATGAGGGCTACCTGGAGAGGGAAGTCTTTCCATGTGAATCTCTGTGCTGCGGAAGGAAAAGCACCACTGTTCACCGGATCTTGACCTTCTGCCCCACCTACAGTGTCTGTGGGCTCGTGCCAGGGAAACTGGACAGCCCCTCAGGGTGTCATCTACTCCCCGGATTTTCCGGATGAGTATGGCCCAGACCGGAACTGCAGCTGGGTACTTCTCCAAACGGGAGCCGCGCTGGAACTCACCTTCCGTCTCTTCGAGTTGGCTGATTCTCGAGATCGTCTGGAGCTACGCGATGCCTCGTCGAACCACCTGCTTCTGGCCTTCGACGGAAGCCACCCGCCACCGCCCGGACCGCTGCGCCTGCGTGCTGCTGCGCTGCTGCTCACCTTCCGCAGTGACGCGCGGGGACACGCGCAGGGCTTCGCGGTCTCCTACCGCGGTGAGCCCCGCCCCGGCCCCCTGTCGTTGGGTCTACCTGGCACAACCCAGTACAGCCACCTTGCCTCACACCCCTCTCCACAGGGCTGCAGGACGCAGTGAAGGACCGCATGGCCCCGGAGGGTTCGGCTGAGAGCCCCGCAGAAAACCCCATGGGGGCTAACGTGAGCTGCAGTCCCAAGCCCGGATCTGCACAGGCTGCGATAGGGGGTGAGGCAGGCATGCAAGCTGGGGGTGAGTCAGGGAGCGGCCCCTCGAGACCTGTCCTCACCGCGCCCCTGTGCCCGCAGTTCGGGTCTTCTCCACCGTGACGGCTGTCTCCGTGCTGCTGCTGCTGCTCCTGTCGCTGCTGCGTTTGCTGCGCCGACGGTGCGGGCGCTGGGGCAGGGCCTGAAGGCAGACCCCGCACTGGGTGCCTCATGCCTCATACCCAGGGGTGCGGGGGCTCTGGTGGGGAGCTGGAACCCAAGAAGGGAACAAAGCTAGGAAGGGATTCCTGAGGTGGTGAGGGCTTGGGAAAATCGCGCGTGGGTTTATAGGCAGAGCAGGATGCTGGAGGCAGGACTGGGTCTGGGTTCAGCTGACGTCTGCTCCCTCTCTAGGAGCTGTCTGCTGGCTCCAGGAAAAGGGCCTCTGGCCTTGGGACCTTCCCAGGGCCCCGGGAGAAGCTGGGCTGTGTGGTACCACCGGCCCCGAGGGGTGGCCGTGCCCTATGCGCCAGGTGACCCTCAGACTGAGGGCCCTGCTGCGGGTTACCGGCCCCTGAGTGCCTCCAGCCAGAGCTCCTTGCGCTCACTCATCTCTGCTCTCTGACCCTGGACATCTGGGGTCTGTCACACCTTCTGCCTGTAAGATGGATACCTGAGATGTTATGTGGCACCCTACCTCGCAAGGCCTCGTGCCCCTTTAAAGGCAGCTCGATCTCTGGTCATCTCGGGGAGACCAGAAATGGGACAGGACGCATCCGGCGCTATTGTCAGAACTTGGCCTGACCCTTGGGGTCCAGAGATGGTCAAAGCCAAAGAGCAAGAGGCATCCAAGACCCTAACCTATGGACCTTGATGTGAGGGGTGGTGTCTGGTTTCAGGGTTCTCTGAAACCCTCTTTGGTGTGGCCCTGGACTGCTGCCCTCTGAAAGGTCAGAGGTCAACAAAAGTGGTCTAAAGACCCACCATAGACTTAAAATAAAGGGCCCATTTTGGTACAGGTGTCAGCAAGTCCTTGGCGTAAGGGAGGAGCTATGCTAATGAGGGTGTAGGAAAAGAGGGTTGCAAATTTCCATGCAAATGAAGGGTGGTTCACACGGTGACTTACTTGGTTGAGTCTTTTTGGAATGTAGAAAAGACTGAGGATGGAGATCCGTGTTCTGTGAAAGAGGAGGTGGAAGCTGGTTGTGGGTAGAATTAAGCGAAAGGCGCGCCTTTCTAGCCTCCACCAGGGATGACGGGACGAGAGCTGACCTTTCTCCCCTACCCTTCGGCTTTCCCCTGCTGCCTGCCGGTCTTAGGCAGGGCCGAGCGTGTGCCTTGTGAGTGATAATAGGGAGCCGGTTGTATCAACCCGAAGCTCGGAGAAGCCTGGACAGAAGGGCTGGGCCTCTCTCGAAAGTTCCAGGTGCGTCACGCATTTTCGAGACTTGGGTATCAGTTGAGATACCTCCAAAGTGGATGCGCCCGGGTACTCAGTTGGACCTGTCCGAAGAGGCCCGAGCTAGTAGCACCTTGGACAGAGTCTGACTGCGGTGTTGAGGGGTGTTACACTACAGGCGGGGTGAAGGCTGGGTAGCGGGGCAGTGTATTCGAGGTGGGTGCCCAAAGGTGCGGAGATCTAGGGGTCTCTCAGAAAGTCGGGGTGCGAAATGTCGGTGGATGCGAGATGCCAGGTCACTCCAGTGGAGACAGCCGGACCCAGAACGTCGGGTCCCAAGCCTACAGCCACTCCATGCAAAGAAGGCTGGAGCCGCATATATTATGTTAAGAGAAGGCCTGGGCGGTCTCGGGGCGGAGGCTCCCCGCCCGCTGCGCCCATTGGTCCTGGTAATGTTAACGTCAGGAACCCAGCGCGCGAAACACAGGCAGGGTGGCGGGGGCGAGGAACCTGGGTGGAGCCTGGCGTCCCCTCCAGCGTGCGGCCGCGCCCGTCCTCCGGGCTGCAGCGAAGCGACTGACCACCGCATCGGCCACCGTGAGCTCAACCCGGGGTGCGTCTGCCACGGTGCAATCGGCCGGCCGCACTGCGATCGGGTACCGGGTCTCCAGCTTCCTCTCCAGCGCCGAGGCGTCGGGCTCGCGCGTGCGCAGCGCGGGAGGGGAGCCGGCCGGGACCCTCTGCTGACCCCGCGCAGGGCGACCCGGCGGCGAAGAGGCAAACCAGGATGAGCTTCCCGGAGCTGCGGCCTCACTGAAGAGGAAGCCCTGGGGCAGGAGGGTGCAGCCGCCTTCGGTACGTGAGGCCATGGCGTTCCTGGCCGGGCCGCGCCTGCTGGACTGGGCCAGCTCGCCACCGCACCTGCAGTTCAATAAGTTCGTGTTGACCGGTTACCGGCCGGCCAGCAGCGGCTCCGGCTGCCTGCGCAGTCTCTTCTACCTGCACAACGAGCTGGGCAATATCTACACGCACGGTAGGTGAACCTGCGTTCTGCTTCAGAATGCATCCGGCACTCGGCCGGCGCCCCGCCTGTGAGTGCCTTGGCCCCTGAGCCCAAGTCCCAAGCTGTCCCTGCCTGGCTGAGCCGGGAGCCGCGGTGACAAAGCTGCCATTGTCCCGAACCTTATTGCCAGCTTCTGTTTTTCTAGCAGGGCCCCAGAGCAGGAGAGGGGAGCAGAGCGGGGAGGCTAGGCCCACTTAATCCGGTTGAGCTCTAGGGGTTAAGGATCCTAGTGTCAGACCCCTTGGTAATTCCAGCGTCCTCCGCCCCCACCCCCACCCTCAGCATTTGTCCTGGAGATTAGCGTTCACAGACTAGGAGAGGCCTGAGAAGAGAAGCCGGCCCCGGCCCCGCCCCGGCCTAAGCCCCTGCTTGCGTGGTTGCCCCAAGATCCCCACTCCCGCAGCCCTACGGTGGGGCTCCGCCTTTGTGGCCCTGGGCACCACTACCCCCAGGGCCGGCCCTTCCTCCGTAGGCCTGTAGAGCTCTGCTGACACAGCCCTGGCCCGTCCTTGAGCTGCCCCAGCTTCTGGGAGAAGGGACCAGAGCCAGCTGGGTTAGTGTTGGGCTTTTCCCTAACGGGCAGGGCCGGGAGTGGGGGTGTTTTGTGGCATCAGACCCCACCAAGAGTGGGCTGATGCCTGAGTTTGTCCTCTGTGAGGGCAATGCCAACTGCCTTGGAAGAGTGGGGATCTCCAAGGGCCTGGGCTGAAAGGAATAAAACTCCTAGGCACACCCCTGGTGGAAATGGGATAAGCTCCTTTCAGCCCCTTTCCCTCATTCTTGCCTTGCCTTCCCCTGCCTGGCCTTCCTTTATGGAAAACAAAAAGGCCCAAAGCCTCCATTTGCCTGGACCCTTGATAAAGTGCAGTAGCCCTGAGCATGTCCCTCCTGTCCTACTCTGAACTCAGGCTGAGGTCATGCCTACAGGGGCTTCTTCAGATAGCCCAGACAGACTTGGTCTGGCCTCCTGTGTGGTGAGCAGCTGTAGCTTCAGTAGGGAGGACAACTTGGGAGTTAGGCTGCCCTGGCTCATTTTCCATCCTTTGCCCATGAGTTCAGCTGGGGCAGGCTACTCCAATCGTTTCCTTGCCTGCAAAGTGGAGCTCAGGGTCTCTATTTCCTAGAACTGCAGTGAGCCATGACTTTCTGAGTCTGTAGACCTGCCTGTGCTGCCTGGCAGCTGTAATGAGCTCTGCCTTGCTCCTTCCTGGGTTTTCACTAGACTTATCCCCTTTTGCTTTAAAATTGTTTATATTTCCTTATTGTGTGGGTACATACATGCCAGGGCTTGCATGCTGGAGGCCTGGAAGACAACTTGAGAGAGTTGGTTCTCTTCTTCCACCCTGTGGAATCCTGGGATCAAACTCAGGTTGGCAGGTTTGGCAGCAAGTGCCTTTTCCTACTTACTGAACCATCTTGCTGGCCTCAACTGGTTCCTTGTATGTTACTTTTCCTTTATACTAAAAATATCTGATGGATAACTCTCCCTCTCTTCTAGGGCTGGCCCTGCTGGGCTTCCTGGTGCTGGTGCCAATGACCATGCCCTGGGCTCAGTTGGGCAAGGATGGATGGCTGGGAGGTACACATTGTGTGGCCTGTCTGGTCCCCCCTGCTGCCTCTGTGCTGTATCACCTCTTCATGTGCCACCAAGGGGGCAGCCCTGTGTATACCCGGCTCCTTGCCCTGGATATGTGTGGAGTCTGCCTTGTCAACACCCTTGGTGAGCCAGGGCCCCAAGAACATAGAGGCAAGGACTGCTGGTAGGAGCCCTGGGTTAGGAAGATCAGACTGGTTTTGACTGTGCCTTCTCCACTCTTTCTGCAGGAGCCCTGCCCATCATCCACTGCACTCTGGCTTGTAGGCCCTGGCTGCGACCAGCTGCCCTGGTAGGCTACACTGCACTGTCAGGTGTGGCCGGCTGGAGAGCCCTCACTGCTCCCTCCACCAGTGCCCGGCTTCGGGCCTTTGGTTGGCAAGCTGGGGCCCGCCTGCTGGTGTTTGGGGCCCGTGGAATGGGGCTGGGCTCAGGGGCTCCAGGCTCCTTGCCCTGTTACCTGCGCATGGATGCGTTGGCACTGCTTGGGGGGCTGGTGAATGTGGCCCGTCTACCAGAGCGCTGGGGGCCTGGCCGCTTTGACTACTGGGGCAACTCCCACCAGATCATGCACCTGCTCAGCGTGGGCTCCATCCTGCAGCTACATGCCGGTGTTGTACCTGACCTGCTCTGGGCTGCCCACCATGCCTGTCCCCCAGACTGAGCTGCTTCCTGTCTGCCAAACCAGTCTGCCCACCACTTCCTGGGACCAATACCACTACCTTCCCTTCTTCTGCTGGTCTACAAGGGGCTGGTTCCCTGGAAGAGCCAGAACATGGGACTTCCCAGCCAGGAGCACTCCTCTCTTCATTTTTTCTTTGGATTAACCTCTTGTATCCAGGCCTTCAAATCCAACTACCCGTCCCTGCCATCTTTCCTCCACGGTACTTCCACTGTCAGCTAGAAGGAAACCATCCTTCTTTAGGCCTCAGTTTATCCGATGTGACCTGTGAGGGTTGGGCCAGAGAACCTCTGGTGTGATGTCTGAAAGTTGAGTCCAACTTTCCAAGTTTGGTCAACTTACCAAGTTTGCCAGCCCAGAATCATCACCCCCATCTTGCTGCTCTCACAAGGCACCTCCTGGGTTCTTGGACTAGCCTCTCTGCCCCTGCTTCCTGACCTCCATCTTTCTGCTCTGCATGCCAGCCCTCTCAGCAGCCAGAATTTTAACCTTCCTACCTAAGAGACCAGTCAGGGTACAGGGCAGCAGGCTCAGGCCCTTCTCTCAGGACCAAGTGGGCACTGGCCCTGCTTATATCATCTGGCTAAGAGACTTGAGGGGAGCAATTGCTTTTCCCAAGCAGCAGGCAGGCACAGATGTGGAATGGTGGCTCTGGACCCAGGCCCCCCTAGGCTAAAGGGCATACCTTCAGTGCCATGGTCTGACAGTCTGACTTGCCCACCAGAGACATGTCTGCTCAGGAAATATCTACACAGTGTGTGGCTCCAGCCTGCTGACCCCAAGGCTACTCTGTAGCAGGGTCCTACATTATAGCCAGATCGTCCCAGGAGCCTAAGACCCTGGATGATATCAATAAATGGACAAGAAGCATTATGTTCCCACATGAGCAATCTTGGATACTCCCAAGATTCAATACATTTTATTAGACATAGAATTTTCCGGGGGGGGGGGGGCATGGGTAAAGGGTAAGAGGTTAAAAGCAAAAGGCTGGGCCTGTGGCTCAGGATGGGTCTAGCGAGTCCTCAAAAAGGCTGAGGAGGTTCCGAGGCTCAAATGAGGGGCAGGGAACCCGAGGAGGCTCTGAGTCCATGTCAGTTAGGTCCAGGGCATCCCTTCAGGGAGGGAAGAAAAGGAGTAACATTCTGGATCCCAAAGCCAACTGTGCTCAGCCCTAGGCCCTGGGCTTGCTCACCTCCTTACCTTGGTATATACCTGCCCTGAGGGGTAGAGGTTCTCCTAGAGACCCGAGCTAGGATGGCCTCTGGGGACAGTGAGGGCCTACAAGAAACAAGCAGGGTGTTGAGGGTTGGTAAGGGTAGGACACAACCAGCTCTGATCCTACTTGGTTCCAGGCCCCTCTGCCTGATGAAGAGATAGGGCCATAGTTGAATAAATAGTACACTCTGACAACCTTTAATCCTCCCATCTGACCATGTTCAGAGGCTGTTTCTGTCCCTTCTCAGAACATACCAGCTTCAACTGAGCTGGATGTCAAGTGAACATTTGATAAAGGAAGCTTTTCTGACACTTGCTCTGTGACACAAAGAGTCTTCAGAGTGAGGGGAACAGTACTATAAAGGCAGGAAATCATGAGAGTGTGTGGCTTTCCTGTGCAAGTTTCTTAATTATACCCTCTTCAGTGTCCACCAGACACCTGGGACTAAGGGAGTTCTCTTGGGACAGGGGCTTACCAGGTTCTGGGAGGCATTCATCCAGGGGAGAACAGTGCCTTGTCCCTGAGCAGCAGCCTCTACTGAGATGCTGTAGCCCTACACTACTGGACAGGGTAAAGCTATAAAGACACTGTAGCTGCCCCCACACAGAATGAGTCACATCCAACAGTCAGTCCTTGTCCTCAGGGTATAATAGATACCCATTCACCAGTCCTCTGCATGGGGCCTGGGCCTCTTTCCATGTGGCATTGGCCACAGTGATGTACCCCCCTTCCTCCCAGTGTCCTGGACTCTCACCCACCCTATGCTGTCATCATCCCAGCTGCTGGAGAGGCTGCTGTCCAGGAGGGGGCTGCAAGGTGGAGAGCCAGGTGGTGTGGCTGGAGGGCCTAGAGGCTGCAGCCAGCTGGCAGGATGAGCCAGGCTGTGCCAGAACCAGCACAGCAGGGTAAGCAGGGCCTATAGGAAGAGAGAGCCTCAGAGGCCAAGCCTGGTGGCTATAACTATAGCACTCAGGAGGCTGAGGTGAGAGGCTGAGTTCAAGGACAACCTGACTGTAAGGTTGCGTTCAAGAGGGAGCCTCTGGAGGCCAGATAGGTCCCCTGGACAAGGAGCAGGTGAGGAGCCTGGCACCATGAGGACTTACCTGCCACAGGGCCCAACCTCGGCTCAGGGCTTCTGTAGCCATGTACCACAAGACATTCCAGGCACGTGGCTGTCTCAGCCTGGGCAGAGCCAAGAGGGACTCAGCTGTGGCCCGAAGCTGGGGATCAGGCTCCAGCATCATGATGAGGACAGAACGCAGCTCAGAGGACAGACCTGACCATGATGCAGGGCCATGTCAGGGGCCAGGGCACTGACTGGGCCCTCAGCCCAATGGTGCCCCTGCCATAAGCCACCCCCTGCCACAGGAACTGGTAGTGGCTGGCCCTGTCCAGGAGCCCCCCCCCACTCACCAGCAGTGAACTCAGGGGGCAAGTAGCCCTGGCGCAGCTGCTGCCAGCCCTCCCCACCATGGGGCAGCTCCATGTTGCAGGCCACTTCCAAGATGGTGAGACCCAGACTGGGAGGGCATTGGGACAGAAAGGGCAGAGTCGGCCTTGCAACACAGACCCTAATCCCACATAGCCTCTTAGAGAGCTAGTAAATCCCAGTCAAGATGAGGACCTCGTGAAGTATGGACCCCACACTCAGGCAGTCAACATGCTATAGTGGTGGGATCCTCCAGAACCCCACTGACATGCACTTTGGTTTCCGTGGTTACTAGGATTAGCATTATCATTCTGTAAAGATTATGACATAACAATTGTTTGAGACAGGGCAGTGATTGCCAGTGTAGGCTTAGAACCTTGTGCCTGAGTCCAGTCCCAGAAGCAAACCGTGGTCTTGGCAGGTCCCTCAACCTCATAGCACCCTACTCTCCCTGTGATTGAGCACAGCCATAGAGCTGCAAGGCGATGGTTAGTCTATTATGTAAAGGAGCTCCAGAGTTTGCTTTTTTACTCGGGAGATCCCTTGGCTAGTGAGCAGGGGCAACACTTCCCACGCCTGAATGCTCTCCTGCCCTTAGTGCCAGGATGGAGTTCCTTTGTTGGACAGTCTCTCCATCTTCTGACCAGCCCCCAAGAAGATACTCCTACATCCCACCATGACCTTTGCCATGTCTCAACCTCACCTGAACACGTCTGCAGCTGTTCCGTAGCAGCTCTGCAGCAGCTCTGGAGCCATGTAGCGGGGATCTCCCTCCTGGGCCTCACCAACTCCAGTTGAACCCAGCTCCACCAGCAGCCCAAAGTCACCCAGCTTGCAGCGGCCCCGGGGCCCCAAGAAGATGTTGGCAGGCTTGACATCAAGGTGAACCAGGCCTTGGCGGTGCAGGTGGGCCAAAGCCAGAAGAGTGTCCCGCAGGTAGCCCCAGACCTGGGCCTCTGGCAGGCTGGCCCCCCAGGCTTCACAGTGTTGTTGCAGGCTGGGGCCGCAGAGTTCTGTCTGCAGGTACAGGATGCCGCCCTCCTCCCAGGCCCGCTCCAGCCTAACGCAATGTGGGTGCTGCCCCACTTTCTCATGGCCGCCTACCTCAGCCAGCTTTCGGGCCCTGTCCTTGGGGCCTCGGAATGGTGACATGGAGCGCTTAACAGCATAGAACCGGCCATCTTCCTTGGAGCGCACCTGGAAGGAAAGTGTTGCCCAGAGACAGGATAGAGGGACAACCAGCAGATGCACATATGTATTATTAAGATTGCACATATGTATGGGAGTTCATGTCATTCTTAGACCTCAGTATGAAGCAACAGCAAAACTAGACAAACATCCACTGCAGGGTGGTACACTGGAGATCCATCAATGGAGGAGATGGGGCATACTCGTGCACTCTAATCAGGGCCCAGTGCTAAGAGAAAAGTCTGGTCCCCGAACAGTAGGCTCAGTGTGCTTTGTCATGCTCAAGCTTCCTTTGGACAGGAGAGCTGATCCAGGGCCTGTGCTGCTTGCATTTTAAATAAAATTCCCTTCAGATAGTTCCTGTGCAAGAGAGAGCTACTATTTTAAAGAAAATGTAAATGATTGGAAAATGTATTTTAAGAAAAAATATAATAATGGGCAGCAGGTATTAGTTTTTGAGTATGCCAGCCCAGGGGGTAGGGTAGTCATTGGGGCCAGCTCTAGACCAGGCAAAACTAGCCAAGGACCCCAACACAGCTAGCCCCAGGCAGAAAGATGGCAGCATAGAACTACTGCAAACCATGCCAGGCTCTGGACAAGGGGCCAGTGTGCATGAGGCAGCTCTGGGAGGGGAGGGTGTTGGCTATCAGCCAGGACAGGTAGGGTGTCTAGGACACTGTCCCACCCAGGGAGAGGACCAAGGCAAAAGGGTCCTCCGACATCCCTTCATTTACCTTGAAGACCTCTCCATAGGAGCCATGGCCCAGGCGGCTGAGCCTCTGGAAGTTCTGCTGGAAGAAGGACTCTGGCCGGCTTGGATCATACCCAGGACTCTGCAGGGTTTCTGAGGCTTCATCTAGGAATGACACCCTCCGAGGCTGGGGCTGGTGCCAGCCTGAGGTCCGAGGAGGGAAGAGACGGCTGATAGGGATGCTGCCCTTGGCGGGGGGCCGGGGTGGCAGGCTCCGACTGAGCCCCCTAGGCCTTTTCAGAGAGAAACCAGGCTCTGCATGTCGGAAGTAGGCTGGAACTGGGATGGGAGTGCCACTCAGGGGTGGTGGGGTGCCCTCGGTAGACAAAGGCATGGTCAATACAAGAGGCCCTGGGGGGGCAGAGATGGAGGCTGGACACAGAGCAGTGTGTCACTCAAACAGAGTTTGGTCCTGTGATCCCCAAGAGAGCCACTTCTTTGCCACACAGATGTTCTGCTTTCCACATGAAGATTGTGAGGGCCACAAGTACCTGCAGAGAAGGCAAAGAACAGGCGGTCACATACCTGCACACTGTACCATCTGCATCTTGAAGGTGGCATAAATGTGAAGGCAGGACCTGTACCTGAGCGTCTCACAGCCTAGCAGGGAAATTAAAAACTAGGCAGTTCCAGAGTGACCTGCCCATCCAGCCTTCCTCTCTGCAACAACTCCTAAGATCCTGAGGTGGAAATATCAGCACCATCCCTCACCTCCAACTCTGAAGTAAAACAACAATAAAAAACAACAACAAAACCCTCAAAGTTCCAAAAATTTCTGTCTTCCTTTCATTTTTCAGAGTTATGGAACCAAAACTGACTCACTTGCAGAATATCCACTTGGGGAGCCCCAGGGGCCTCTCTTCAGCCACAGACAGAACAGGTGAAAACTGTTCACATCCATCTTAAGAGTCTGGATGTGGTACTAAGATATAGCAAATGAAACAACATTTACACAAGAAAACCTGGCAAATCTTGTTAAGAATATGAAGGGCAAGTAGATCCTGTAAGTCTACTACCCTGTGGGTGTTATCCAGAAGATGTGGCTCCTGCTCCCCTCAGCTCTGGTTCAAAGTTAAGGAACCTGCTAGGAGGAGCAGTTTCTCAGTATTCCTGTCTCCTGCCAACTCCACAAAGCAGAGGCCAGATTCTTGCTGAGTGGCAGACTGGCCAGGGGCTCTCTTCTCCCTCCTGCCCCACTGAAAAGATGGAGGCTCTACATCAGGTCCAACAGACCAAGGAGCCCATGGCCCAAGCCCCAGCTCATTCATAGCAAGGGGGCTCCACACTGGGAGAGGCAAACAGGGAATGCCAGAGGCCTTTGTCCTGCTCTTCAGGCAGCTGGGCCAGTAAGGGGGGAGTGCATCAGTCCTCACCTCCAGCTCCATAGCAGTTTAGAGATGCTGAGGGTAAAGGCAGGCTGTAAGACAGAGCCCTGAGGCTTTCCCTCAGGAAAACATGACCTTGAAACAGTGTGCAGAGGTTCACACTTGAAAATGCTATAAAAAATAAATAAATTGGAAAAAAAAAAAGTGAATGGAGCTGGGCACAGTGAGCCTCACCTGTAATCCCAATACTTGGGAGACTGAGGCAAGATCATGAGTTTAATGCCATACTTGGCCATCTATATAGAATTCAAGGCTAACCTGGGTTACATGAGACCCTATCTCAAAGAAACAAAACCTAGGGACCTTCAAGATGGCTCAGCAGGTAAGAGTGCTTGTCATACAAGCCTGACAACCTCAGTTTAATGCCTGGAACCTACATAAAGGTGGAAGGAGAGATCAACTCCACAAAACTGTCATTTGACCCATGTCATGGCACACCTCTCCCCTCAATAATAATAATCTTTTAAAGTGAATGAAAAGTTTAGATCTTAGTTTTGAACCAACTATTAAGAGAGTGGGGCTGTGCATTATGCTGTGCCCCAATAATTCCAGGCTCAGGAGGTTGAGGCAAGAGGTTCACAAGTTTGAGGTCAGGTTAGACTACATATACAGACCTTGTCTCAAAGAGAAAGAAAAGAAGGACATGAAGGAGAGGTGAGTCTGGAAAGGTGTGTGTCACCGAACCTGGCTTCATATGGATATTTAAAGGATCCCAAACGGCTGGAAAGATAGTTCAGCAGTTAAGAACACTGGTTGTTCTTGCAGAAGACCTGGGTTCGAATCCCAGCACCCACATGGCAGCTAACTCCAGTCCCAGGGGATCCGACAGCTTCTGACATCCTCGGGCACTGCACGACACAGGTGCACTTACCTACCTGCAGGCAATACATGCATACACATAAAAATAATAAACAGCTGGGCGTGGTGGCGCACACCTGTAGTCCCAGCACTTGGGAGGCAGA